TGTAATTTATAATCCGATAAAAAAATTATAAGTGCATTATAAAACACTATTTCACTTTGTCTATTTGAAATATCATGAACGACGTAAACTGCAGCATCGAGGTTAAATTTCAATTGCTACTACCTTTGGCCAAAATCTATGAACCGTAAATATTTTATTTTAACTAATTAAATAGCAGGTATCATTCTAAAATATCATGGAAATCTAAATTTGAGAAATAAATGTAACGAGATTCTACGTAGGTTCAAGAAAAAAATTGCAGATCAGATAAGTGGTACGTAAACCAGCATCGTTCGTTCGTTTTACATAAATAATATTTAAAATAATTAAAGGGGTTACGATAATCCTTTGTGATCCAAATGTAATTCCCCGAAGATTGCCGCTTGAATTTGTATAGCGTATTCTGCTTTTTCTCTTGGTTTTCTGATTCTGAAATTTTCTCTTTCTTAACTCACTGCCAAAACTTTACACTGCATGAGATGCTCATAACGACGTTTTCACAGGAATATATATATTTCATATGCGATCTCCACTATTTATTGAATTATCGAATTTTTGATAAAAAAATTTGGAGCTTTTTGAAACGTGTGTCTTGTCTTGCTGCCAGCTTGGTATATACTGACTGATCGGATCAGGAGTAGGTCGTATATTGTACCATTGTCGTTCAGTCGCGCGGTTGCCACAACTATAGCTCACACTCTTGACCTGTAGCATCTGGTATTCGTCCTTCCGTCTACTTTTGTTTATGGCATTCCTTCAAAACGCAGTTCGACAGCTATATTTGACACATGTTCGACACAACGCAAACTGCAAGATTAAACGCAGACTCTGTCGTTCAGTGGTGCCAACCGCTATAGTTGTCCTGAAGCAACTACGTATATTATATACGCATGCAGTTAAACGTACTATAAAGACAAGCCAAATTTGAATAAAATCATTACCAAATTTAATTAATTTCATGGATAGTTCTTACTTTAATCTTAATTTTTAACACATGCATACGTATATAATAAAAAAGTTACGTATGCGTATATATAAATGAAGTTATGTACATACACACGTGCGCGACCGCACACATACAATACAAAAATGTATATATATAATGAAGATATATATATACTTTTAAAACGAAAAAACTGTATATTGTTTCATAATAATCTGTCATTTTTATTTTTAAACTCATATTGATAAAATTTTGAAAAAAACTTTGGAAGTCTTCAACTTTATTAAAAAATCTATTAAACATTTGATAAATATTCATGTTTTAACATTTCTCTATAAATTTTTTATTTTATCGCATCTGTATTACTTATGGAAGTATTTGATCACCTTATATACACGTCTTGAAATAATTTATACTACTTGATTATATTATTTAAATTATATTATTGAATTTTAAATTGATTATTTAACGTATTCTATTGATATATTATTTAACAGTTGATCTATCACCCTGTAGTAGTTACGTAATAAGAAAAATGTATAACATAAGCGGCAAAACAATTAGTTTCTTAATATCGATTTGTTACAAACTATTATTTTTGCTAGTAAATGATTCATTGTTATTGAAATTGTTGATGTGTAAAATGTTAAAATTTTTTATAATGAATGGTATAAGTCGTTGATGGGTGACAACTCGCGCGAGGCGAGTTTGTCCCGTACGAAGGCCTTTCAACAGCCGAGCGGCCTTTGACTCAGGCGGCAATCAGGCTCTCGGGCACCCCGTCCCGTTCGCGCGTCAATAACAAAGTCTCCGTAGATTTGAATCCGGACTCCCGATACCGCCATCGTGAAATATTCGATCGGACGTATTCGTATATATTTATCTGTAATCAGTTATATATAATAACGGGGAAGCATATGGATATACTCAAGCGCGTTTAATAGTACTTATAAAATTTATTTTATAAAGCTTAAGTACATGAATAAATGATAGAGCGAAAATTAAAAAGATATATATATATATATAGACGCGTGTTCTTCGCCTCGCATTGTCTATTATCTATAAACAATATGGTACTCACTTATTTTTTAAATACAGTTATTGACAATCGGTCCTTTAGTATTTTCTATTTATCGGTCCTCTCTCCTATCTGTTTCTCTTTAAATGGATTGTAAGATCCGTCAAATGTACACGTATATTCGTGTATGTCCAATTAATACTATCGATTAATTTATATTTTTTCTTGGTCCTAGCGAGGTGAACAAGTTGGCTGCACGGTTGCTGTGTTTCTTTGCCTTTTACTAACACTCAGACTGAACTCAACTTTTAACCGGATAACTCGGATGAATCAAACTAAATTTAGATTTCAATCGGCGAGATGAACTCTGTAATGCGGAAATATTGCGGCCTAGTTGCTCTAGTGCTCAGTCCTGACTGATTAATCTCTGCTCGTTGTTTTCGCCGGTTTATTATATATTCTTTGTCCCTCGCATTCCGTCTCTCTCTCTCGCACATATGCTTTAGACGTTTACGCTTCTCGTATCGGCTCGTCTTACCTAGCTAAGCACGCTGACTGCAGCATGCTGCAGCAGCTTGAATCAGTCTCTGCCGCTCATTCCCACCGAGTCGCGCACACGAATACTACTAGCTATAGTGTTTTATTACTATGTCCGAACGGAATTCTCGAGAGCGAAATCTTAATCGTAAAATATAATTATAACATAATGGAACGTCATGTAACAGTCGTAGTAAATATTCTTAGGAATATTATATCCCATCTTAAAAAATGATGAGTCCAATGTTGCGATGGGTTCGTACTAAGAAAGAGTAGGAAAATTAAAATTTTCGTATTCTTGAAAATATTTGTATTATATATCTAGGAGTATGAAATTCAATTTATGAATAATTAATGTGGATAGTAATCTGAAAAAATAAAAATATGCCATTAATAAATTGTTTAAAAAAAAAAGAAATTATTATCATTTGAAATTATGCTGGAATAATTTGATTACCATCTGTGCAAATAATAACATAATTTAAAAATGTGATTGGAAGAGAAAAAAATTAATAGTATAAAATGAAGAAAAACATATTTTTATGATTTTACATTTGAACAGTGGGAACTTTATAGGAAACGGAAACTAATAATTATCAGAATATTAAATTTGAAGAATGCTTACGGGTGTTTTCAACGAGGAAGAAACAAGAAAACATTTGATGTTGAAATCTATTACTAATAGTAAGAGGCATATTACTGAGGTCCTATAAAACTACTGCTAAACTAAACTTCTAAAGTCACTAAAGTTATAATAAATTGTATAATAACAGAATATTACCATATCAACAATAGATAAAAGACAAAATTATTTAAATGATTTATATAATCATATAAATAATTAATCATATAAATATACAGAATTCTGTTATTTATATAATTATATAGATAACAGAAGAATAATAATAGAACGCGCAAAGCGTATTATTTATAAAACTAGATAGACAAGGATATTGCGCTTTGCGCGTTTATCTATTATTTGTATTCAGTAATATTCTAAAATCACTACATACGTAAAACAATTCTATGCTTTTAAATGCTCACCGTAGATCAATATTTATCGATAAACGTGGAAAATAATATTCGTTACACTTTCGTTCTTTCCACATAAATAAATAAATTTTAAGATATTCGCCAATTTAGCAATAACTTTGTACCTTATAACGTAACAATATTCTAAGTGTTTAGCTATATAGATAATGGAAAGCATACCAAATTAGTTTTTCTTTTTCAAATAAATAAATCGTCAGCTGTACTGGATATCTCTATATATCTACAGATATGTTATTTTAACTGTTTGTCATCTTTTTTTTTCAACTATTTTCCCGTGAACATTTGAAAACTTTGTTTACATTTATAAATTAAATTCCAAATTAAAAAAAAATAAAATAACGGTGTCGAATATAAAGAAATCAATTCACAGAATTTCATATGAAATATCGATTTATAATTTTATTCATTGTTGATGATCTTTATTCGAAGCTAAGCTTTACTATAAAGATATTCAATAAATTTATATGTCCTATAAATTAAGATTAGTCTATCGTATTACTTTAGAGTTAGGCCGTTGAAAGAATATGGGAATCATGGTCTTTTCAATCTCGATAAATTATTATACTTATTTGTGTTAATATAGAACATTAATAAATGTTAAACGCCTTGATTAATTATACAGTGCCGATTTACTCATAACAGTAATCCACGTGACAACATTTAGTCAATCGGATTACAAATAAAATCACTTCATTCGGCAAGCCATCACTTTTTTATATCGAAAAATAAAAATATATAGGATAAAATTTGCTAATTACGCGCTTTTATCTTCTTTTTCATTGCTTATTATAATATAAATTAACATATTTTACATAAATTACTTTTTTCAAAAGTTGATTTTTCAATTGTTTTTACAAAACACATTGTCGAATAAGACAATATACTCATTCCCATGGGCCCTACACTTATATGTGCAATTCTCAAAAAAATCTGTCTTAATACAACACCGTTCATATAATTTTGAAATTAAGAGGTATGCTCCTAATTCTTTTTTCTTACCATTCTTAGAGCTTTAGGAACCTAAAAAAAATATGCCCATAATGGGTCATGCTTATGATACCCTTTTTCTATCTCAAAGCTTCAAAGGAACCAGCCTGTCTTAAACATGGAAAATTAAGAATATTCTTTCTTGTGACATAAAAATCGTTCTAATAAAGATATCGTCATGAAACTTTTTTCATTTTAAAGTACTCTGTATAACCATTAATTTTCTTTGTCATACATTTAATAATTTCAAATATGCGCTTCACAAAATTGGCATTGGTTTAACGTCTTATTTAATGAAAATATTCGACTTTGACACGCTGCCGTCGGTCACTGCCAAAACTCTTAATAGAAAAGTATACTCCAATTGATGTAATTGCTATTGACAATAATTTCGTAGAAATGAGAAGCGTTGCTATCAAACAACGAACTCGGGATCTTAAAAAGTCAGTAAAAAAAAAGAATTATATTACAATTAAACTTTTATAATTTTTCATACTTATATTTTGCAACTGATTATAAATTTGAAGATTAACATTTATACGAAAAATTACGCATAAGAATATTTTATCAGGCAGAAACAGTATCCGTTAAAAATGTACATTTTAGTTCAGGATTCATAGGAGAACCGATTGGACAATTAAAGATGTTGCCAAAATCTGGCATATTTGAAATAGCTCCATTTATTCGCAATTCTTCCCCTGCATGCTCATCAGTATATAATTGTAATTTTCTATTTTCTTCTCTTCTTCTAGTACATAGAGTACTTGCAGCGCTAATCCAAAATAGCTGATCACTGGTGTAGTTTAAAGAAGGAAGTTGCGGTTCATCGCCATGATTATTTTTCCAAATTTTGTATGCACTGTAAGCTACTTTAAATCCGTCGTTGTCTGCTAAATTCTCGGTAAGACTGAACGTTTGCGCAGAACGAAAAACCTTTTCGAAAATATTTTTTAATTGCATTAAATATTTTTGTATCTGTAAATATACTAAAAAATAATGAGAAAAATTTCAAAAAAATATCAAATTGAGAATACCCAATGGTTTAATAAATTTTGAAAATATATTTTTTGAGTTGTTTGCGATGATGTAAACAACGCTTTAGTTATTACTAAAAGAAATATCTACATTATCAATTATTAAATCCAATCAAAATTAAATTATAACGTATTTTATATCTTCGAATAATTAAGATATAAACATTCTCAAGATTAAACTTCCTTTTTTCGTACTAAATTTATTTGAAAATAAATTTATTATTATAGTAAGTGTTAAATACATACACTTCGGTCAGCTTCTGGTGTGAAATTACTATAACGATCTATGTAACATCGCGCTTTTTGATAAAATTTGTCTCGGTCTTCTACAGTCCACCATACATTTTGAGTACCATTTTCATCCAAAGGCATATCCTCAAATATGTAAGCGTGAGTAATTTCATGACCGACAAAGAAACCAATACTTCCGTAATTTATATAATTTGGTTGATTCTCGTCAAAAAATGGGTATTGTAAAATAGCTGCCGGCAAAACTGAAGAAAACATTGAAGATTGAAAAAATAATCAGCTTGAGATAGAATTACATAAATAAAATTATTTGATTATCATGTATATGTTAAATACCAATAACATTGTAAATTTTGTGATAATGGACGAGAACATTCGCAGACACTCCAACTTCAAGCCAAAAATTCTCTTCAGGAAGCTGAGTTAATTCTTTGATAGAATTTTCATAGGTAAAATTATTGAGCATCATTGCATTTTGAAAATAATTATTTAGTTCAAAATGAAGACCACCGTAGTATTTGTCAAGAGATTTCATGTCAAGAATTTTTTCAGGATAGCCGATAACTTTCCTTAAGCGTTCGTGTTTTTTTAAAATCGTTTGTTTAGTACTTTCGCTCAACCATGAGATCTAGAATTAAAAAAAATTAAATTTCGATAAAACTTAAAAATTTACAATGAGACTACTAGACCCGCGAAAGACCGATTGAGATGAAAGTTTGGGAAAGCGTTCCTTATAAAAAATAAAAAGACACTTGTTTTTTTATTTCATATCATTTGTCTTTTTTGTATTGAAAAACGAATTCTTTTTCTCTTTTTCATTCTTCAACTTTAAGTAACTCCTTTTGGAAAAATTTTATTGAAAAAGATTGAACTAATCAGAAGTTAGACTAAAACAACATTCCTTCGGTTATTAAACAAATTTCCGATGTCAAATTTACAAGGTATTACAATTATAAATTTAAAAATGGCATAACTTCTGAACGGTTTGATGAAGAATATTTTCTGAAGGTTTCATCTAATTAATATCCCGTAGGTCTGGTCTCTTTACTAATAATCCCGGAAATTATTTTTGATTAATTTTTGATTAATTTACATTTTGTAAGACATTTTTGTAGCGATTGTATATATCAGACACAATTTCTCCAACTTTTCTTTGTGTATTATTTTTGAATAAATTCTTCACGTACATTGCACTTATACCCTGCAACAATCCTGCGCCTCTTGTAATCATTTTATCTAAGCAATCTGCCTGTCTAGATTCAGATTCTAATACTCCATTGGAAGCTTTTTTAAATAGTAATTTTTTATTACGAATCTCGTCATTTAAATAATCGATAGAATCATCTATGACTCTCCATATCATGTAATTAGCTACAACTCTTCGTGTCGTATTCGCTAATAGACCTTGTACTCCTGCTAAATAGATAGAGCTTTCCAAGCGGACTTCAAATGTTTCATCGACCATGAAATTGGGATACGTTAAATTGTTCAAGTATTCTAACCAGGATATATTAGGATATACTTGTTGTAATTGCTTAATGGTCAATCGATCTTTATCCATATCCAGTGAAATGTAATCTATAAAATTGTACGGCTACTCAAGCGATAAATTATAAAAAAATATCATTATCCCAGTATTAATCTTACATACATTGTCATTCTCAGTCATTGAAATCTGGTAAAAACACATTACCAATAACTTACACTTGTAAGATCGAGGTCAAAAGCCAAGGTTTCATTGAGTTCTTTTTGTGCGCGAGCTCTATCAGCGCCAAGCAATACTGCAATCTCAATCATGTAATCTAAATAAGCCTTCATTAAGTAGCCTGCATGCTTAAAATCTTTTACAATTGTTTGGGGCCTCCTTATCTGTAACATTAATTCCGGCGAATGAGAATTTTCATTTTACACGGCAATTATGCTTAGAGACCATGTTATCCAATCGAAGAACATTCGCGTTCGCAGATAAAAATTAAATCAATTGAACAGTAAAATTAGACTTGTTTTCTTACGTATAAGATATTTTTTGACGGATTATCCATATCTCTCATAACGAACGGTTGAAAAATATACTTTGGCGTATATCCTAATGATCGAATCAATTCGTCAGTTTCTATCCAAGAGAAATTTTCTCCTTTCCAAGTATCCCCTAATACGACTGGCCAACCGCCAAGTTTGTTCAGAATTGTTTGCAGTGGCTTGAGTCCCTGGCTTTCAATTGAAGCTACGACGTAGTTATATCATTTGAAAGATATAGATTATGTCATATAAAAAGTTTGTCACTTACATTTGTTCAAACACGAAAGGTAATAAGTTTTAATAAGCTCAAAAGTTTTCGGCTTCTCGGAGCCAATATCTTTTTCTAATATTTTAGCAATCTGTTCTACAATCACGTCTGACATCATTGAATACTTATCAAGTTGAGATTTCGTTTTTGGAAATTCAATGTCTCTTTTGAAATTGCCACACACATGCTTAAAAAAATTGTCACACGGTTTTACGGTGAAGTCCATACTTTTTGACAAAGCAGTTGCTAAAATAAACTTGCATACTTAATTAGCTTCTTATTACTTAATTGATGGTAATATGTATCCTCAATAACGAATAAACAATAATTTGTCACTGTTCATGACTTTACATAAGATATTTTATCATTTTCAAATATTTGTTTGTTTATCAACAACACATTTAAGTTCAGACACAAAACAAACAATGTCTGTATTAGCTGGGCACTTTCAAGCCAACAAATAATGACATAAATTATAATTTATTTTTTTTATGTTCGCTGCAAATGAGAATCGACAAAGATTTACTGGCGTTACACAATATAACTAACCTGCATTTTTACATATCTGAGTTGAACAAATATTACTATTATTAGAATTTTCATCATGGTTATCTGAACCTTTTTTTTAAATGAATGTATTATTAGTTAATGTCACTTTGTATAATTGTAATTTAACATATTCAGGTAGAAATGTGTACTAACTTTTTTCAAGACTTTGCGCATATGTAATATTGCTCGTAGCAAAAATGATAATACATATGACAAGATACATTTTTTTTATCCTGAAATTTTTATATATTACAATATTGACAAAAATGGAGTGATAATCAACAAAAGTTTAACTTACTTTACTAATATAGGATTCTTCATTTTGACGTACAGTATATTTTATATATTATGTTCTATAGTACGGAAAAATGTATTATTTTAATAATGTATCAACAATACCGTAAGTTACATTAGCCTTAGATTTCTAATTAGTTGTCACTTTTTCGTATAAATAAATATAGCAAATAACTGTCTTGCAATAGATTTGTTATAACTGATCGTGGAACGCAAGCATAAGATGATAAAACGACGATATGAGGTCAAAGTAAAAATATAAAAGACGCTTTGCAATCCTTATTGCAATTCTCATCGAGCAATCACAAAAGTGATAGATGCAATAACAGTATATTAATGTTTTCAAAGTGACCGCGTAGAGATAAAATTTATTATCACAATCTTTTTGTGTATTTCAATCTACATGAATACTTAATAGTGGCACTGACAACTATTGAAGTAATTTCTTATAACCATATTAATTTTTGAATTCTTATATTTTATGTAATTCTATTTTGAGTTTCAAATTCCAAGACTGAGATAATGAATTCATTAAATCTATTTTTATTAAGAAAAAGTGCATTAATAGTTTATCATGTCACGCGAGTTTATAATAAAATAATATAGTTATTTCCTGTAGCTATAAGATCACAATTTTCTATTTGATTGCCGCGTGAAATCCCTTGTACGATTTCGTATGGAATCCCACGAAAGATTCCACATGGAATACCACGCGGGATGTTCCGACCGAGAACGATTGATTTTTTTCAAATCTATGAACTGGCTTGCAGCTAGAAAAACAGATTGCGCATTAGGCTTTACCTTTCTAAGAAGGCTTGTTGCGAAAAGAAGATATTGCACTCTTTTCAGAAGATATTCATTGGTCTAAAATCATAAACATTCATTTATATATTTTTTCTGTGGGACTGCTATATATTTGTAAATGTAACACAACTATTTACCTAAATACTCATAAATCTATATTATCACAATATAGTGTTCAAGAGTAACAAATACTCTTGTATTAAAATGACATAAATTAATTAGTAAATTTGTTATAACGTTTACTTCTTAATATATATTCATGTTAACACTTTAACAATTATGACACTTTAATTGATGTATTTCCAAATATTCTTTATGAAGGTTACTTAAAAACCAAGTCGTTACCTTTTTTTCTTTCTTTTTCTACGATAAATAGATTATATAGAGATTCAGATTAGTTCTAAAAAATAAAATTTGGTCTTATAGTAATCAAAAATTTTCATTTTTTCAAGTGAAAATTTTACCATTACTCACATAATATTAAAAAATAAATTAAAATTAAAATGAAGATTGATAATAAGTTTTCAATCAAAATTTAATTTATTGATCACATTTCAAATTGTAACAAAATAAAAACGATCAAATTTTTACAACTATTAAACAAAACAGCATTTCTCAGGATGTTCGGTTCATTTTGTACCTATATACCCGTATAAACATAATTTATTACACCATTGCACTTTTTCTATTTCATAAATACATGTTATTACAATTGTCAATAAAAAATGACATTTCGCACAGGACAGTATCAAAAGTCATAAAATATTCATCAGATGTGAAATAAATTTTTCTTAACACTTTGAGTATTGTTATATTTTTGAGTATCGATCTACGATCATGATTAATTTGTTAAATAAACTGACTACATCAGTTAATTCACTGTTTAAAATCTAATATATAATCTTATATTAATTTACATATTTACATTTTTTTATATATTATCTCATGCGAATTTGAGAATATTTTATAGCATTAATTATATTTACATTTATATATTTTACATACGAATTATTCAATCATAATATCGCCATATGAAGATATCAACTCATTGATATAATTATATTTCTCTAATAAAAAAATATGAAACAAATGTAATAGTATAGTATAGTACAACTAATTGCAGAATACATTAAAGGTACGTGCACCAGTATCCGACAACCGTCTACATTGGAACACTTATTATAATTTCAAAAAATAGCACTATCCATAATTTACAAATCGCCAAAATTTAGTAAGATTTGTCGAATTCATCTGTATAAAATGTTGTCTATTTAAACTTAATAAAATAGAAAAAGTGATTAGATACCAACGTGTTCAATATTTCTGCATTAATCTCAAAAAGTATTTATAAAATCAATAACTTGTACAAAAAAATTATGTGACTATATTGTTCGACCTCAGTGACTCAAGAACTCGTTCAAAAATAGGAAATAATTTAAGGCAAGGGATCTCAACTTTTATTCTAAATAATTTGGAATTCCTTATCCCAAAAATAAAAAATTTTGAACATTCTGTCCCTGTTTTAATTATTTGATTATTGATGTAATTATATGCGATGTATTTATTTATTGATGTAATTATATGCAATGCAATTAACTTTTCACAATCCATGTTAGTTATTTGACAGTGGAGAAGATGATACTGTTGATGAATTGTAATTATGAAATTTTACAGATTTCCAACATTATTGAAACGCTTCAATTTATCCGGGAAACTGTCTTTGTATAAAACTGGATCTGCGCGAAATTCAACTGGAATAAGTGGTATTCGTCCGAAAGCACTAGAAAATTTGTTAACGCATTCACTCCTCTGAATCATATGCTTGGAATCGGCAGACAACATTTCCGTACTAACGCACTCGGGGCAACGGAATTTTTTCTTAGCCGTCACCTTGATAGGAGCTTTATTGGTCATATTACTAACTAAAAAATTCATTGCTATATCCTCACAGTTCATGTAATAGTCTACCCACTCCTTGACACTTTCAGGCAAGTGAATAGTGTAAGCATAATTCCAGTATTTATGATAGAAAGCTGCTCCAGTTAAAACCATGGATATATGATTCGTCCATTCGCTTTCATATTTCCAACAATTGGTCTTGTTGTCCCAAACGTGCATTCGCGATGGAAATCCGACGATTCGATCAGGAAACTCCTTCCACACTTCGTACGCGAATTCGATCTCGTCTTCGGTCAGCATGAGTATGTCATCATCTATCGATAGAACTGCCTCGGTTTCTATTTCTTGATACGGGTAGAAACGATTAGACAGCAAGTTTTTTTCCGTGTGAAGAACTTTCATGGGCTTGGATATCTTGGGCCATTTTGACGATCTCGGCGGAAGCTTGTATTCGTTATTCCATATTACCAAAATCTTTACGAGACTTGGAATTTTCGCGAGCTTTTCGAGAAGCGTGAACAACGAATCGACTCTGTCGTAAGTCAAAACGACTGCTGTGAAACCATTATTTTTGGAGACGGCCGATGGCGACGGAACAAATGGCACACTCGTTGAAATATCGGCTTCGTTCCAAGCTTGATAATTCCTTGCAAAGTGTGGGTAAATTCTGTCCAATATTATTTCGAAGACCGTCTCCGTTATTCTGTCGATGGTCTTAAAATACTTGCTGTACAGCCACGTCCCTTGTCGGCGGTATTCATCGAGCTTGCGCGAAGAATATCTTCTCAATGTGTCCACCGTTTGCATTACGCTCGCTTCCCTTACGAATACAGCGGCTCTCGACCAGTCGATCACCTCACTGAACGGCATAACTACCGCGTCATTTATGACAACTGGAATGCACTGGGCAGCTAGTGCCTCTAATAATATAGACAAACCAGACTTTTCTCCGCGCGAAATCAAGCAAAACGTTGACGATTTCAAGACATCGGGATACCTGTATCTGTTGTGGTTATAGCAACGATAGCGTAAATTCACTTCGTTCAAGTGCGAACAGTTGTGAAGTATGCGTACCTCGGACGAATACTGCACTGCTAACTCCGCCAAATCCTTCTCAAGAAAGTAATCGATATTCAATTGCGAAGAGGTGACAAACCAGTTTCTCGCACCGTACAAATCTGATTGAAAATTTTTCAACGAGTCACTCCACGTGGGCAAACTTATGTCGAACTCTTTTCGGAACTCCGATTTTGTGTAACTAACGTCGGCTATCATCGCGTACGTCAAAAGATTATCCGAATTATTTTTAAAAGTTCGAGCATCTTTACGTTCGATGTTGAAAATCAAATGATTTCTGCCAGCGTTGAAGAAACGCTGCCTGTCAGGCTCATCTCTGGTGTTGATCTTCCTTTGTCTTGAGCTAAGCGTGTCGATCGATGGTATGTAGATGCAAGCTTTGTTAGGATTCGACGTATAGTACTTACTTCCATGTATAAATTGTATGATTGTGTGAAACTCTTTCGTCATATTGTTCGTATGAGCTATTTCTAGTGCTTCAGGATAGATGTAAACAAATAAATCCTTGCCGACATTGCCACAGCGATATATGTCGAAGCAAGAGATGAAGTTACACTTTGTGTTTCTCAAATTATTTCTGTGAACCATGTCCAAATAACTGCCAAATTTGTTATTCTTGTTTCCGTACCTATTATTCTGATAATTACTTCTCTGGATCGCAAGTATTAATACTAACACTGACACAATCAAAAGAACGAGCGCAAAAAACAGAATCGTATGGCTTGTGAATTCATTGATACTCTGCTTCAAGTTATTATATTTGATAAAGATGAAAGTTTTTATTTTAGTTTTATTCCCAGTCATGATTTTACAATCTTATCAAAATTAAATCATTTGTAGGAAACTACTGCAATGTTTTAACTGTCATTCTTCCATTGGTTGGCACTGTTGAAAATAATGTTGAATTTTTCGTACGCGTAATTGTCACTTGCACGTGGTTTGATTCTGCGCAACGTGATCTCTTGCTGCGCGCGTCGGTGTATCACCCAAGTACACAAAGGTGGCGGGGAGAGAAAGAAAGGGAAGGAGAGAGAGAGAGAATGAGAGAGATTCAATGGATGCACTGCTTATACGATGTGTAAAGCTTTACTAATGAGATAATAACAGCTTCATCACAATTTTGGCACAGTTGGATATTTGGTTCAAGGACAATGCTTACAAACAATGTTTTAAGCCAGCCTTGCTTTACCATCATAATTAATAGCGTGCCGTTCACATACTTTTCACTTTACTCGATGATATAACATAACTGTCATTTGAATCTATTCGTGCACAACTAGTTTCGTCCTAATCTTTGCTATTGACTTGTTATAAGTAAAAAAAAGACTTACTCGAGTCAAACAGTTTCAACTAAGGTAAATTAAATACTGTGAAGAAAATGTTATCAACATTATTTACTTCCTACTCCCTCCTGCTACAGAGCAGAATATATACACATTTCAGCAGATCTTATAGTCTCCGTTCCAGCCACTACGTGGGCGCAGCGCGCATATACAGTAAAGCGGGAAAAACAAGTATAAGAAATCAGATCAAATAATAATGTTTCTGAAATATGAAATATGAAAGTTCATTAATGAAGTGTTCATTGAAATAATGAAATTTTTTGCAAACAACAAGCATCATTTACTACTGTTTTGTATCTGTTAATACTAATTTACATCAGTATAAATTATATCGTGTTTATTAGTTATGATGATTCTATCAAAGCAACAAATTGACACTCATTGATATAAATCTATTTTAGCAAACTGAGCTTAATTTTCATTTTATTTTTCTCAATATAACTAAATATAACATGACAATTATATAAATATCTATTAACACATATTTTTAAAGTTAACGTTTCAAAGTAGAAAATGAAATTATTCTTTTTATCTTCCGATTATTTTTTTCAATAGAAAATATTTCATGTTTTGTATGTTACAGAACTGTGATATGTGCGCGAATCTTCAAACTTTTAATTTTTATGTTACTTCTTATTACAAGTGTAGACCTATGACATCTCTATTAAGAAAAATATAATTAGTTTATATAGATCTTTTTTATAACATTTTTCTTGACAAAATTAATATAATTAAAAAATTACTAATTCAACATGCCTTTTTCTCAACAAATCTTATTTCAATAATATTTATTTCATAACCAGATGGAAAATATTGGACATTGCTTAGAATGTTTTACAAACTTTCCAAGTTATCGTATTAACAGTATTTTCTTTAAAAAATGCTTTATTTGTTGTAAAGATATGAGTAATCGGCCATATTTTTTATTTGTAATAAAAATTGAAATTATAATTTTTTAATATGAAATTGTGTTTTGAATTTTTATTACTTGATGTTTGGAACACATATCAAATACAAATAATACAAAAATAAAAATTCTTTTTCACTTTTTCTCACAATACGTGTGACCGTCATTTTTGTATTCGGTGCTTAGTAGTTCCAGTTTAAACATAAAATTCATTAGAACAGGCTTTTATGTACTTGTAATTCATAGTAGAATTTTGTATTATATGATTAAAATTAAATATTCACTGTGATTTGGAAGCCAAGTAAAATAAAATTGATTGGGTAATTTAAATCTGAGTGGATAAATGAGCTATTACTTTACTATTATTCTAACAAAATATTATCGATTCAAAATCGCCGATACGGCACTTTTTAAAGTTTCTCGGTCAAATGTAATTATTTTATATAAACGTTTATTTTTCATTTTCTTTTTACATTGCATTATACTCCAAATTTATATTCGGAAAAAAAATTTACGAAAGTGAAATATCAGCGTGAAATATAAAATTATATTACTAAATATTAAAAAAATAAATAAAAAGATGATGAATGTAACTCAATAAGTATATCATAAGCGTAAAAATAATCTATAATGTGTGGTCAATCACTATTTTGCTTACGCATATAGTGTTTATATCTGACTTTTTCCAGGAACTTAAGTAGCATTTTATTGCAATTCGCAAATTACTAATCATTATGCACTGATCATGTACTGATAATTCGATTGAAAAGTGAGTAATTGGATAAACTGATTTTTTTTCATATCCTCTAAATTTTTGAATTAATACAACTTTCTTTGGCATAAGCTACAAATCACACAAGGTACTAAGTATAAGATTTCTAATCCAATTAGTTTTTCAATTTTAACTTTAGCAGGGTTATGAATGTTGAATAGATTTTTGGAGTCACCCAAACATAATAAATAAATACTATATCTGTTTTCTTCATGTGATGCACCATGATTCAACTGTTTTAACACCATCTTTTTTCGACACACGTTGGATCACTCAATATTTGGAATTCATTCATATAATATACTCTCATCATAATTCCTACTACGAAGACTTTAATATAGAATAGAAAAGGTATTCGCGAACAAGGCTCAAGCTTGACTGACACATATAGAATCTTTTTCCACGCATATTCAATCTACTCAAGTTCCTGGCAAAAGTTAAATATAAACACTATGCGCGAGTAAAATAGTGATTGACTACACGGTATAGTTTACTTTGACGCATATGACATTATATTTATTGAGTTACACTCATCATCTTTTTAATTTTTTTTTAATATTTATTAATAAAAAATTATATTTCAAGCTGTTATTTGATATTTGCAAAAATTTTTTCCGAGTATAAATTTGGAGTAAAATGTAATGCAAAAAGAAAATAAAAAAACTGTCCAAATAAAAAATTAAGCGTTTATATAACATAATTACATTTGACCGAAAAACTTTAAAAAGTGCCGTATCGGCGATTTTAAATTAATGATTTCTTGTTAAAATAAGTAATTTTGAAGACATCTCTCTACTCAGATTTTAATTACCAGTCGATTTTATTTAACTTGTCTTCTAAGTCATCGTGCGCATGTTTCTAGTTATGATTAATTAAGTTGATGGATATTTTATTCTCGATATTGCCAACTACTAAAACTCCTTTTAATTTCTATACCTTGTATTAGTCCGTCCACCATATTTCGGCAAATATAAATTTTAAATTTTCTTACGAATTGTTAAAATTTATGTTTGAATAAAAAAAATCAATTCTTAATGAGACAGCGGTTAATTCAGCCGTGCTTTTAAAATTATTAATACTTTTGTAATACTGGAATTTATTAAAAAATAAATAATATAGGAGAAAAAAAGAAATTTATAACTATATTGGAGGGAGGGAGTAGATGTGTAAAGAGCTTTACATACACAATATTAGAGAAAAAGTATAAGTAAACGTAGTACAAGTTTTATTTTTGGAGTTTCTAAGTTAATTTAAAATGATGTATTCATGGTCGCGTATCATTAAAACCATAAAGTTTACATGAAGAACAATAGTTATATTTTTCAAAGTATGGTAAAGAAAAAATTGTCTAATAGATTAACCACCGAGGCAAATTGTGGTTCTCCTACCAAAACCAATTATTTATTATACGAAAAATTGATAAACATGACTAGTTCACCTTTTAAAAATGAAAGACTATGTAAAACATGCATGATAACATATTTATAAAGGTATTCAGAATTAATTTTTTAAATGTATTTATTTATTGTTATATAAATTTCAATTTTATGATTTATTTAATCTTGACTTGCATTTAATGCACAAAAAACAAAATGTAGTAACAAATATTGACGACTAACCGTTATAAATAACCCCGGCCAACTACTAAAATAAACTTTATTTAAACGTTCACTATTTCGTTCCTGTACCAGACAGTCAAAATATTATATCTTAAAGAAAAAACGTATTTGTTATGAATTTTCGTTTTCTTTTCTTATTTAATAAATTAAAACAATATTTTGTATAAAATAAGTAAAAATATTTGTATGCGAAAAAAATGCGTAATATGTCGGTTGAGTACAATAATTTAATTTCCGAACTATTACACTGATACTTCGAACATAGAATTTTTTATTTCCCTGTTGAATTTATTAATAAGAGGAGAACAAGTTGATGGTTGTAAATGTTTCATATAACTATAATACTAACAACATAATAAGTCTAACCAAATAATTTTATTCAATATATATTACAATTTCAATGTATTGAAAAGCCTACCTATATGTATCTTTTCCAAAGCTCTACTTCTTTGTCGTAAACTACACGCAGATTTACAATTGTTATACTATTAAAAGTTCTCGAATACATTATTTTTTAAATGTCGAGTATCAGTTCATTGTAAAAATTCAACAAATGTATTCAAAAGTAGATATAAATACGCTTTGGAAATAGGTAAACACAAACGCATGTTAATTTCTAACTTTGCATTCATCCACTATCAAGTTTTCAAACGTTTCCTTGTGTCGCACTGCTCCTCCGAAGCGGCAATAAGTTTTCTCAGTTCTTCGTTTTTCATGAATCTGACAATAGCATCGGAGCATAATAAAGGCAACTCAAATCCCAAAACAATACTTAAGGCCATTGTCGCAGGTTCCATAAGTGGCATCCTGGCCACTGCCCTTCTGTACTGCAGTTTGAGTAAGCAAGCCAATTCAGGAAACTGTTTACATAGGCCGACACTGTCGTTGTAAAAAAACTCGTCAATCGCGTGACGCTGGATTTGCGGCATATGCGGATAAGCAGCCACCGCCCCAGTCTCTGACAGGAAGTCGAACAAAGTTACCGAGTAAGGATCTATTGTTCGCTCCTTCAGCTTTTCTAACTCGTCTTGACAACGTTCAGCCACTTTAACATCGAAAGGAAACCTTTTCCTTGCTTCGATGTCGACCTCTATGTTTAGCTGATGAACGTCGAGCTCGAGTAATTGAAGTTTGCGTAAATGCATTGAAAATGTGACGATAATATGTAAATCGCGTTCTCGACCACGTTCGCTATGCTCTAAGCTATAGGCAAATGCCGGTTTGTCGTTTGCATCTAAAATATTTACATCGGCGCCACACATCAATAGACCAGCTATTGCTTGGAAGTTTCGCAATTGAGCAGCAAGATGGAGAGGTGTTCTACCTGTTGGCGTGATAAAAAGTGCTATTATAATCCCACATTTCATCTCTCATTCAAAATAAAATGTCAAGATAAAATAACCTACCTTGGTTATCTTGATGATCAACGTCACAATTCATTCTGGTAAGAATTTCGATGCCATCAGCGTAATCAGCAGCTGAATTATTTTTCTTGAAAGTTGAGACGATATTGTGAACAGCGTTGCGACCCATTGTGTCAAGATTTTTCACATCGGGAGCACTCAGTGCTGCACGAAAACCCGGCCTTTGTATGGCGCTCGAACGTTGATTAACCGTGTTAAATGCCATTGCGATGTAGCCTTCTTGACTGATAGGGTTGAATACATTGACTTTACAACCGCGTTTTAAAAACAGCTCGATTACTGATGCTGGAGCATCGCTTGAATTCAACAGTAACTCGAGAGGCGTCTCCCCTAATACGTTTTTAGCATGAATGTCTGCTCCAGCGCTGTAAACGTATAACATTTTCGTTATAAAAATTTGAAACGGATTACTTCGAATAAAGTTATGTTGTAAGAATCCACTTTCATGAACTAGAATCAATAATAAATGCTGCAATGATTATATGCAGATGAATAATGTTTACACAAGATTATAAAAAAGCAATGTACCTGATTATTTTTTCTATCAAATTTTTGGAAGACGAACTATGTTCAGCAGCAGCATGTAGAGGAGTATTACCAAGATAATCCTCAACCAAAACATCAGCTCCGTGCGATAGAAGCAGATCGACGGTTTCTTTCGCATCGTGAACCATAGCCAGGTGGAGAGCCGAGTAGCCGCCATGATCATTGGAAAAGTGATCGATCGCGTCATTGACATCAACGCCGTGATTTAAAAATTTTTTAATAATCTTCACTTTGTTTCTTCTGCAGGCTACGTGGAAATGTGAGATACCGTCGACACTGTATGGATTGACGCTATAATCTCGCTGTCCTTCCAGAAGGATATCTACGTAAGGATGAGCTACCCAAGAAAAAAAAGTAAGATCGAGTAGCGAACGAGTAGTCAGATGGCAACTGAAGGTTTAAGGTTTAGTAGGAGATTACCGTTAAGATGGAATAGCGTATAAGCTTCGTGAACCGGCGTTACGCATTTCTCATTCATCAAAGTAACGTCAGCTCCGTGTTGTAGCAGCAACTTGATGATCTCAAGAGTTGAACGGCTATTACGTTCATCGTGCGACCTGGACATGAGTACGTGCAGAGAAGTACATCCAGGCCAGACACTTGATTCGGCCTTCACTTGCGAGTTGGCGTCAACCCCGGCGTTGAGCCTTTCTCTGACTCCTTCAATGTTCAAACTGACGCAGTCTAAGTGCAGCATGGTCAGTCCGATGTCGTCCTCCATGCGCTTCTGAATTCTGACATCACTCCTGAGCACTTGCGCGAAAACACTAGCCATGTAGGCATACGAGCAGTCGAGGGTCGCGTACAACGGCGCCATGCCATTAGCCTTCTTTGCCAGCACATCGGCGCCACGTTCAATGAGACACTTGATCACGTCCTTACAATGCTCCTGCATAGCGAAGTGCAGCGGCGTGTAACCGGAGTAGGGCGCGAGAAAGGACAACGGCTCGAGCGAACGGTCATCGTAGGGATCAACGAACACATCGCGAAGCTCGGGTGCCTGCCCTCGACCATACTCTATCGGCAGCCGATAGGTGACGGTCGACTCGATGTTGGATCCGTGATCGAGCAAGCTCATGACCGCAGCCACGTTGTTGACCAAACAAGCGATGTGAAGGTGGCTCAGTCCTCCTCTGACCGTGCAGTCTTTGAGGTCGATAGCCGAAGTCAAATAACTGCCCGTTTCCTTATAGCCCCGAGTCGTCAGTACTCTGTGTATGGGCGTCAAGCCGTTGACATCAGTGGCGTAGATATCGGCTCCGTTCTTTACTAGCATATCCGTCAACTCTGGGCTCTCGCCTGCAGCGGCGATGTGCAGCGGTGTCGAACCAGTGCTAATGTAGAACACGTAAGGCCTTGTCTCTCGATAGTACGGCATGCCAAACCACTTGAAGCTCGACATTACCGGGCTGTTCACGTCTACACCACTACGCAGTAAAATGTCGACCAGATGGAGATTCCTGGTGGCGCAAGCGATGTGAAAGTGCGACAAGCCGTCGTCGTCCACGGGATTGACGATTTTTTGGTGGAATTGCAGCAGAAGCTGCGCAACGTTTTCCTTCTGCAGTCGAAATGCCAGATGTATCGGCGTCAAGCCACGCGCGTCTTGAGCAGTAACGTCGGCACCCAGACTCAAGCACACCTTGACTCGTTCGAGGTAGACTCGCTCGTCATCGAAACTGCAATTGTAAAACGCCGGTGTGACCTTCTTCGTTCCAAAATAATCGGTGTCCTCGATCAAGTCATTCATGTTATTGATCCTTTCAGGGAAGATAATAGCCAAGTGGAGAGGCGTGTAGCCAGGCCAGATTGGTGAATCGAAGGGAATACACATATTTATGTTGCCGTCTATCTGTTGCAGAAAAGTGTAGAAAGTGCAAGAGTAACGCATCGCTAAGATTATATTCGTCAATCGAGTTGTGCCGTCCGAGAAGGTCACGTTCCTCCACAACGGTTGCCTCATCACGAGGAAGTAAATTTCCTCAGCTTTGTAACGTTGCAAGCAGAGATCGAAGGGCGTCACTCCTTTGGAGTCTTGTGCCAGAATGTTGGCTCCTTCATTTACCAGTATCCTAACGGTTTTGAAATTGAAGTGCGCTGCAAAGTGTAAAGCTGTGTAACCTGGCCAAAGGGCTGAATCCGTATTTACAAAATGCTCTAAATCTACATCCCTCTGGATTAGCTGCTCGGCTAAGCTCGTGTCTTGCAACGTACATGCTATCTGTAGGCGCGATAAACCTGTGTTCTCGACAACGTCCGAATCGTTGCAATTGCTAAATAGTAGATTTATCATCTTCTCGTTATCTTCGAGATCTAATGCCAATTGCCCGAAATTCTCTCGTAGGCTTGTTTTCATCCAGTCGACGATTTCCATATTTCGATCGATGAGAATATGTAACGGACTCATTTCTTGAGCATCTCTGAGTTCTGGATTAGCACCGTACCTGAGGAGAAGCTCGGCTGTTTTTAGAGCACAGTACCTTGCGGCGAAATGTAACGGCGTGTAACCAGGTAACGCTAGTGAATTTCTATGAACGGTTTCATTCACCGAAGCTCCGTTGTTCAAGAAAAATTCAACGGCTTTGTCGTGGTTTACCATGCAAGCGATGTGAAAATGTGATATGCCGTTTTTGTTGCAAGGATTTGCTGAGATTTTGTATTCTACGTGTGCTGATAATACTAAATTAACAAACGGATGATTCTGCTTGCCTTTCAATTTCCAACAACGTTTAGATCTATTGTAACTGTTCTCGAAGGCTTGATGAAGTACAGTTGCCCCATTGTCATTTTTTATTGTAAAATCTGCCCCACGCTTGATTAAAAAATCAAATATTTTGACCTCACCCTCATCAAGTGTAAAATGCAGAGCTGTGTAACCTAGTAAATGTGGTCGTCTATACTTGACAAAACTGTTTGAAGAGATTTTATAATTGATGTCGCCATCTCGTTGTAGGATTCCCTCTATTATGGTAAACTTTTTAAGTGAAAGCGCGGAAATCGCTCCATAGAACTGGGCTAATCTTGTATAATTTTTCAAACTCTTTGATTCACCGTTTTGGGTTGACATTTTGTTATCCTCAGTAATCCAAATCATATGCTAACAAAGCATTTGAATATTTATATCTGAGCAATACAAATTATTTGTTACAAAAAATAAAAATCTCTTTAATAAAGTTGAAAAATGATTCAATTCAAAACTAACAAGAAAATACCAATGTTAAACACTTAAATGAATTATAAAAATTCAATAAAATATCATTCTTTATAATTCAAAAAAGAGCATATTAACTATACTTTATGCATATTGTTGTAATCTAAAAATTTCAACTATATCTATTTAAAATGTTTCAAAATATTGTAAAAAATAAATTTATTTCATTGTTTATAAATAAAAATAATATAAGCACAATAGACACAAAACAGTTTATGATTGAAATCAAATAAAAATTTCTTAGCTACTCACGTATAATATACTCTTGATATTTGTACAATACAATCTTATTTAATACAATTTATTCTAATAACTTATTATGAATGTCTATCAGGCATTTATAATAATCATACTTCTTATAGCGTAATCAATGAAATTGATGCTTACATTCCTGCAATAATTATTTTAAGTGAGTCATTTGTTAATTATTATGTTGTAACTCTATTTTACTATTATATTTACATTTACATTTATATTACATTTACGCATAGCATTTAATTTTTGATTATTTTTCAGACTAAAATACAAACCAGTTTTTTTACAATTAATGAATATATAAATTTGGTATAATATTTATATTCTAAAATATTAACATTGGATAAAAAGTTTCATGATATTGTTTGTATGTAGAGATATACTGTAACAACAAATGTTCAATTTGAATATTTACTTACGCTTTCTGTCAAAGATCATTTATTAACTTTGTCCTGGGTTAATTTTTTAAAATTGATATTCTTTTTATTGCAAAGATCTAGAGTATTTTCTGATACAGACTCTGAAAGAGAAAAATTTCATGAAATTTTAATTAACAACTTTAATTCATTATTAATCTATATCTAAGTATCTATGAAGTATGTAAACTAAAAATAAAAATAATAATAATAGTAATACTAGTGTTAAAAATCATTAAAATCAATTTTCATTGATACAGATGTTAAACTTCTCATTGATATTATAGTTTTTGAGAAACTAAAAATATTAACTTTAAAAATATCATAAATGATATATAGTATCCTTGCTATCTAAATATGGATAATTGGACATAATAAACCGCATCTAATCATCTCTTAATCATATAAGTATAAAATAACATTCTTTCAGCATGTTATTTATACAAGTTTCTTTATGAATCTATTTTTAGCAATATCACGTTTTATAAAGATTCAACTTGAAGAATTTGAAGGTTCCTTTGTTAATCATTTGTAGTTGGATAATAAACAAGCTTATTAGATTAGTAAATTTTATTAAATGGTATCATATGCATTTATTACGTGTTAAAATTAGTAACTTATTTACTTTTGCTAACCTTACTTTTCGGCTTATTTTGCAAAAAAGAATTGAATTCTTACATTCAATCATCACTTATAAGTACGAAGAAAATAAAGATATATCACTTTCCAACGTAATATTCTATGAAAATATATTTCAAATGGTTTTGAAATCTACATTTCATTTAACACATAACCACAGAGCACGAGTGTGCACTCACTAGCACCCGGCCAAATTACGTTGTTAGCTGTTTTTACATCACTATACATATTTTGGCACATGCGCAGTCTTAGAATCAATCGGTCATCGTCATGCTACTCGTGCAACGTGCACACGCCGCCGCGCTGGACCGGAATCCGGAACTCCATGCCGCAATCTCCAAAACTGTCATTAGATTATTAATATTATGATGTACAGTATAATTTAAAAATATATAGCATCTACATCTTTTAAATAAATCATAAGATATTATTGAACTTTGAAAATTATTTGAGAATGAAAAATCCTAAAAAATAATATATATATCATATCGTTTCATTACGTCTATATATATTCATATAATATAACTTTAAATATATTTAAAAGATGTTGACAAATTTTATGTTACAGAAAACTAAATGAAAATTAAAATGAAAACTCAAGACAATTAATGTTCTTAGTTCAATGAAGGAATATAATATTTTATTACAGGTAATTATACACTAGTTTTGCATTTACAATTTCTATTATAATTATTGTAGTAAAGACTAAATCACATCGTTTTAATAAGTTTAACAACTATGTTATAGACTTTCAAGTTATAAACAAAATGTTACAATTTGTTAAATACAAGTATCAAGTCTGAAGTAATAAATTAAAAATTTTTATGAAAAATATATACTGTTAACAGCTGCATGTAATTTATATACTAGAATTAACCCATTAACGTTCAAACGACATTAATTGTTAATAAGTTTTCAACGGGCTTATTTTTTTCGAGAAAAAAATTATTAAAGTTCAAATGACGTATTTCGCTAATTTTTTTTTTCAGAAACTATTGAGTTTAGTGAACATTTATATAGAATAAATATATCGTAAAAATGATCAAAGAACACCCTCAAATTTTTTTAAAGTTTAAAAAAAAAATTTCTGAATATTTCAATTTTGTGCTATTTTTGACAAATAAAATTTATCTTAGGAATTCTGAAAAAAATTTAAGGGTGTTCTTTGATCATTTTTAAGGCATATTTGTTCTTAGATAATTTTTTCTTAACTTAATAGATTCCGAAAAAGAAATAGTTAATGATTTCATAGAATTTTCAAGTTCTAGCCGCTATATAGTAAAAAGGAGTGATTCAATAATTGTATAAAAATTTACCGTTAATTTTAAAGTATCCTGATCACTTCTGATTACGATTGGAGCAAGAATTCCGTCTATTAACATACCAAAAAAATTGCCAAAAGTAAAACTTTTCGAAAATTTGAACCTTGTTCATAATTAAATCGACCATATCTTTATTCTTTGGTGTTTAATCAAAATTTCAAGCCTTGATTATGAAAGAACATCAATTTTTTCGTCAGAATAGTGGTATTACAAATGTTTTTTAGTCTAATAACATACAAAATAAACCCATTGAAAATTTACTAACAATTCATGTCATTTAGGCGTTAATGGGTTATCTTTATCTTATAATTGTAATATAAATATATTCTCTTGTTATAAATCCAACAAACTGTCACAGTAATGATTGTAAATAAGCCTATAATGTTCATACCAGCGCAAAATATATAACAATTTTTACTGGTTACTCTCTTTTCACACTTATCAATAAAATTGATTAAAAAAATATATGATTTTTCATACTAAAGCTATAATTTTACAAAGAACATCATACTAAGTCATCATAATTAATAATCAGCCGCGGCTATCAGATTTCTGAGATCTTCATTTCTTAAAAACTTTAATACAACATCGAAGCAAAGTACAGGCAATTCAAACCCTATAACAATTCCGAGTGATGCAATCGCAGGATTAATAAGCGCAAGTCTCGCGCGAGCTTTTTTATACTGCAATCTGAGGAAGCCAGCCACCTCAGGAAACTCTTTTCGTAATGCCTCGAAGTCATTTTCAAAAAAATTTTTTATGGCGTATCGCTCTTGTGGAGTTGTATATGGATAGGAAGACACTGCGCCAGTTTCGGACAAAAAATCGTGAAGCCTAATATTAGTCGAGCTGATTTTTCGCTCTTTCACCTTCTCTAATTGCTCTTCGAATGCCTTGTCCACTGTTATCTTGAACGGGATGGACTTTCGCGATGCGACGATAGCCTCCACATTGATTCTGTTAACGTCGAGTCCCAAGCGAACCATCTTTAGCAAATACACAGACAATCTATTGACTATTTGGCGATCGTGTTCTAAATGCTTATGAAGATATTTCAAAATATAGGAAAAAGCTGGGTTGCCTTTTGTATCCGTTATATTAACATCCGCGCCAGATTGCAGCAAACCTGTTATGGCTTCGATTTGTCGGAATTCAACAGCAAGATGTAGAGGAGTTCGTCCTGTTTCAGACAGACATTAAATTTTTTTGAGAATAAAGGTAAGAACAATATTCAGCAAATTAAAATAAAATTACCCAAAGTATCTTGATGATCATAGTCACAACCTAAGCGTACAAGTATTTCAATAGCATCCGCGTAATCGTCGGCTGAATTATTATGCTGAGGTTGCTGCATAGAAACGATATTGTGAATGGAATTACGACCAATTTCATCTACAACCGCTATGTCTGGAGCTTTCATTAGCGCTTGGAAGGCAGGTTTTTCGACGCCCCTTATATTTTCATTACTCGTACTGAAAGCCATTGCAATGGTACCTTCTTCGCTGAATGGATTAAACGTGTTGACTTGCCAACCATGTTTGAGGAAAAGCTCTAACACTGGGGCGGAAACATCGGTCCATTTTGTCATGAGAACCTCGAAGACAGTTTTACCAAGCAGATTTTTTGCATGGATGTTTGCTCCTCCGCTGAAACGACAAAAGCATGAAAAATATGCGAATGATGGCTTTTGCATGGAATATATTTATACTTGATAATTTGTTCAATTAATCTCCTAGAAATATCATCTCGTTCAGCGGTGACATGAAGCGGAGTATTCCCATAGCGATCTTCGGCGTTCACGTTGGCTCCATGTCTAAGCAGTAAATCAATCGTTTCTCGGCTGTCCTTGAAAACGGCAATGTGAAGAGTCGTGTAACCTCCAAAACTGATGCAAAAATGATCAATTGCTTGATTAATATCAATGCCGTGCTTCAAAAACTCCTCAACAATAGCAACTTGATTCCTGGCGCAAGCCACGTGAAAGTGCGACAGTCCTTTACTGTTTATAGGATTGATACTGTAATCCTTTTGAGCCGTGAGAAGAGCGTCCACATGAAGATGGTTTTCAACTGAAATAAATCGAGTCACAGTTGGTAACAATTGCAATTGGCATAATTTAATATATCAAACTTACCGTAGGGTTCGATGAGAGAATAGAGTTTGTGTATTGGCGAGCTCTGCTTGACATTGATTGATGTAACATCAGCATCATGCTGCAGTAACAGATTAATCACGGCGCCAATCTTATCTCTTTCGTCTTCAGACAGCGGCGTCATCAGCATATGAAGAGGAGAACATCCTGGCCAAATATGCGAGTCATCGTGTGTACGAGCATTGACGTTGGCACCACATGCAAGCAGTTCTTTCACGAAATCTACGTCCAATGTAGCGCAAGCAACATGCAACATTGTTATTCCCGCGTCCTTTAATATACGCTCTTGCAATGTGGAATCCTTTTTCAGCATTGAAACAAAAAAGTCCGTCAAACTGTGATGCCTATTATCCGCCAGAACGCTGTAAAGCGGCGTTGAACCGTCGGGTTTCTTAGCTAGCACGTCAGCGCCATGTTCCAACAATAACTTCGCGACGTCCGGATCTTGATGATTGTCCATGGCAAAGTGCAGTGGCGTTTGGCCGTCGTAGAGACTCAAAAAGCGCATTGGGTCCGACGAAGTGTCATCGTAGAGGTCGAACGCTGGGTTGCCCGACAGTAATGTGCCGTCGTCGTTGTTACGCACAGACGACTTATGATTGACGACTCCATTGATGTTCGCTCCGTTGTCGATTAGCTTCTTTACTGACTCTCTGTTAGCCATCAAGCTGGCCACGTGTAAATGACTCAAACCTCCCTCTATAACGCAATTTCTCAGAGGATTTGTCGAGAAGAGGTTTAGCGCGATGCTACTGCGGGAACGTATGACGAATACCCGGTGGATCGGTGTCAAGCCATTCACGTCCTTGGCGTAAACATCCGCGCCGTGTTTCAGGAGCATCTCGACCAAATCGGCGTTCTCGCAGGTGACGGCAATATGAAGTAATGTCGATTCGGCGCTAATGTGAAATGCGTAGGTGCTGCTGTCCCAGTAATAAGGTTTGATGAACCACTTGCAACTCGCTGGCACTGGCTCGTTCACGTTTCTCCTGTCCAACAATTTGTCGATGATGTCTCGACGTTGCGTGGCACAAGCAATGTGCAGATATGTCAGACCGTCGTCGTCGTAGTAATTTCTAATCTCTCGTAGGTTGCGCAAAAGCTCGTTAACAGCACTCTCCCTCTGCAAACGGAAGGCTTGATGAAGAGGGGTTGAGTTACGAACATCTTGGGCAGTGACGTCGGCATTGAATTGCAAGCAGACTTTAATTCGTAACAGATAGAGTTTCTCCTTGGTTTGGCTACAATTGTAGTACCTCTTGTCGGCTTCCTCATGCGGATTGTATTCGGTGCTTGCCAGCAAATCTTGAATGTCGCGGTTTCTCTCGGGAAGTATTACTGCCAAATGTAGAGGCGTGCAACCTGGCCAGAGCGGCGAGTTCATCGAAACGAACGTATTTACGTGCGCAATATTGTCTAGGTAAAAATTGAGTTCCATTGCCGACCGCATGGCAAACACGAGATCGGACAAGCGAGTTTTATTGTCGGATAGGAGAATGTATTTCCACGACGGCTGATTCGTTATGAGAAAGTGAATGTGTTCGGCTTCGTATCTCTGCAAGCACAGGTCGAAAGGCGTGATATTCCTGGCATCTTTAGCTAGTAGATTCGCTCCATTTTTCACCAACAGCTTCACCGTCTCGACGTTGAAATGTGCCGCAAAATGAAGAGCTGTGTAACCAGGCCAAATAGGAGAATTGGCCTTGATAGAGCGCGTCAAATCGATAAGTTCTCCGAGATACTGCTCGATCTTCGACTGATCGTAAATCGTGCAAGCCACGTGGAAACGCGACAAACCTATGCCATCAAGGCATTTCCAACTACTGTAATTCCTTGACATTATCAGTTCGATCATCTGTTCGTTATCTTCGAAATCAGCGATGAACTGATCGTAACACGCTCGTTTGCTGGTGTTCATCCAGTCGACGATTTGCATGTTTCGCTCGATCAACATGTGCAGCGGTGTCAGACCTTTATTATCTTTGAGCTGTGGATCAGCGCCAGAGCTCAAAAGTAGCTTGGCAATTTCAAGGCAACAGTATCTCGCAGCTAAATGTAAGCCAGTGTAACCGGCTAGCACCGAAGAATCCGCATTAACAGCCTCGTTAACCAACACACCGCGATTCAAGTAAAATTCAACGGCTTTTACGTTGTTCGTCATACAAGCTGCGTGAAAGTACGAAATTCCATACTCGTTGCGGGAATTGTCGCAATTATTAGCGTTTACGTGCGCCAACAAGATGGAATCGATGAACGGATGCTCCAATCTGCCCTTTATTTTCCAACAGTTTGCAAACTGCATGTAACTGTTGGCGAGGGCTTGGTGAAGGATGGTCTCTCCTTTCTCATTTTTCAGGCTGAAATCAGCACCATGAGCCAGCAGGGTGTTGAATACGTCGATTTCTCGAGAATCCAGCGCCCAGCGCAAAGCCGCATAACTGCGGTAATCATCGCCATATTGCTTTACGTAGCTCTGAGCTGGGATTTTAAAGTTGATGTCACCCTCGCGTTGTAGGATTTCATGAATAATAGCGTGTTTTTTATTTGATTGTTCTTGCATCGCAGCACACAGCTGAGCTAATTTGATGTAATCTTTAGAGTTCATTTTTCCCTTGGCGAATGATGCATGCAGTCAAGATGGATTATCGAGTAATCATCTAATCAAATTAATATGTGAAGAAAACTATCATGCTATTAGGTCAATATTCAACTTGAGTATGTCATGAAATCTGCTTTTACAAATACCTACGATCATTAAATTTCTATTAACACGTTTAATACAAATGATATTCTCTATGCTACTACAACTCACACACATTGCTTCCAAATACTCAAATAGATCTATGATTTAACCTTTTATTAAGATTACATCTTTCTGGAACATGTAGGAGATGGTATCGTTAGGAGACAACCATTCTAAGACTAGATTTTTCTCAATATTTTTCAACGGCCAGCGTCAACCATAATCTGAATGACTTCTCAAAAAAATGTATAATAAAGTGGATGCTAGTAGATACACAATCCTGTATAAGAGGGACAGGTACTGCAAGTTAAATAGCAAATATATCATCGTAGCATTATTAAATACAAATATACAAAAAAATGTACTGTAGTAACTTAAAACGTCTTTTATAAAAGGAAAAGAACAGAGGCTATGATATCACTTTTTTCAAAGTGTCCGAAGTCTATCAAGAAATATGAATAAACTAATTATCGTCGATTAATGTTAGCAGAAATAATACAAGTAAACGATCGTTATAAGACCGGCGTGATAAACGTGGGAAAAAGTAGACACACATTGCAATTAATTTACGCAATCACGAAAAAAGATCATATTTTATAATTCAATTTTTTTCCCATATTAAAATTTATATTCTAATGTTTCTACGGATCTGAATAAAATTATAACTTTAAATAAATGATAAGATTTAAAAGGCTATTAAACAAATGTAATTAAAAAAATAATAAAAAAAGCTTTGTTTATTCTACCTTAAAAATTAATATTTTCTGTACTTTCTTTTCTTATACTTTATAAATTTACAACTTAATTTCATACAGTGTTCTCCAGTCATTAAATGTAAGACCTATATATTATTGTGACATATAAGAAATAGTATTGAACTGACAAGTAACATATACTGAACTGGAAAAATGCAATTTTTTTCAAATAGTTTTCCATACATTTATTAAATTTTAATTTTATATTTATAAATTATTCTACAATATTTATACATTTTTATTGATTGCGAGTTACGTTGAAACGCGCAGCGCGTGTACAAATCTCTAGTTGTGACTCATGATTAAATGATCCTTATAAGCGGAATAGTTTGAAATGAAATCAAGCTATAAATAATCTACTATGACCGCATTTAAAAATATATTTTAAATAGTTAATCAACATTGAAAAAATCAAATTGATATGTTTAACTATAATTAGAAGCACTGTTTTTCCCTTTAATCGAATATATATTCGATTATCATAAATTCAATTTCTCAATTTTTTCCGTACGTACCTATGTTACTTTGACTAACCTCGAGGTGCTAATAATATATTGTTATTTGCGTTCAAGGTAATCCAGTGAATAACAAAATGTAAGTTCTCAAATCTTATCACAAAATCCAAATAATCGCATAAAACCAATGAAACAAACTTATTTTGCTGAAATTACCCGACTACTCATCGTAACCGGTTGTTTTTGTGAATCAGCTGTGTAACTGCAGACTGCAAACTGTAGTTAAAGCACTTGTCATTTTTGCACATGCGCTTTCCACGCTAAGGCACATAGGGTAGTGCTGTATACTAACAGCGAGATTTTACTGAAGCACGAATTTGGTATTTACAGGAAAATTTCAAACTATTATGATACAAGTTTTGAGACAACTTAACCTGTAAAATCTAAATTAATATTAATTGGTTACTTACAGTAATGGATATTCTATTTACATGCGTATCGCATGCAAAACAGTATTTTTTAACCCTTGTTTTTCATTGTTTTTCATTCAATAGAACAATGCTAAAAATAATTTGATTTTCTTAGAAATTTATTGAGAAATAATAAACGATTACTGAAACTGTCATTCACTGTACTTGCCATAAAATTATTCTAATGTTTTAAATAAACATTATTTTGTGGTTACAAAAGAAAATAATAAAAAATAGGCTATTGAATAAAATTTCGTTGACTAAAACAGCCTAACAATTAGAATTAAAACAACTTAAAAAAGAAATAAAAAATAAACAAGCACTCGTTAGAAACAATCTCTATTTATAAAAACAATATTTTAAAAATCATTATACGTTCCGTAATGATAATGTAATAACGTCGTTGTCATTAGCAATCATAGTCTACAGCTTTTAGTAAGTTGAGAAGATCGTTGTCAGTTAGATAGCTAATAATGGGTTCGGTACACGGATCTGGCATACTCAAACCCAGCAATATCCGTAATGCATATTTCAGAGGCTGCATCTGCTTTCTTCTAGTAATACCCCGCCTGTACTGTAACTTGATCAGACAACAGAGTTTCGGAAACTCACGGTAAAAGTCACTAGCGGTAACGATCTCCTCAAGCATTTGTCTCTTTAGCGTCGAGGTGGACAGTTGTTCGGCACCCTCGTACAAAACCTTCCTTAAGGTTGTATTATTGCTCACTCTCACATCTTCCATTTTATCCAGTTCTACAGCGTAACTTATTCGAAGCTGCTTGTCATTAAATACATGTCGGGTGCGAGCTTTCGAATAACACTGGCGGTTCTCCTCGTTGACGTAGAGATTCAGTTCGATGAGCTTGTGCACATGACCAAGAAAAATGTAAAACATGTGGTTTGATTGGTACTTGCGCTGATCAAATGTTTCCAGACAGTAGGTGAACGGCGTTTTACCCTGTTTATCAGCCACATTTACATCGGCTCCGCACATTAGGAGACCGGCAATAGCTTCAACGTTTCCATATTGAACAGCTACATGAAGAGCTGTGCGACCATGAGAGTCTTGTATGTTGAGCTCGTGATCATCACTCTCATCAAGATAGCGTTCCATTGACCGCATGTAGTGTTTGGAATCAGACCTTGGCTGATGAGTTGCCACCATATTGTGCAGTACCAAATGTGAGCTCATTGCATCTGATGTGTTGTCTAACTCTAGGTCATAACTCATTTTTGTTTTTATACTTAATTTACATCAGTGGATGTTATACTATGATACAGAATCATAATTTAGTTATACATGTATGCCAGTTGTTTCATGTAATTCTCACTATTTTTGGAATATGGATTTCCTATGTGAATTCATATTTAGTTTAGTTATTTTAAATATACATAACCTCATTCATTTTCTTTTATGTTTTTAAATTGTATATTTACTTACAGATTAAATAAAAATAGACAATACTTTGTTCGATAGTATCCTTCAAAAGAAAAAACCTCCAACTCGAATGTAATAATCCAAGTCGATTAAACTACGGTCCCAGTTATGACAAATTTAATATGAGTAGAACTATCAAGACCATAGAATTATTCTGTTCTTTTATGCTGCACTTCATTTGAATTTGATTTTTTCAACGCCATCAATATTAAAATAATGATTTTGCTTACTTCTAAAAATGATAAAACTTGAATTAGTTGAGCATGAACATTAAATTATGAATATGAGAAATAATAAAAAGATTTGAAATCATTTTGATTGTTTCATTTTATCTTGAAATAAAGTTATTTTCATAATTTTATTATCCAATTTGCAATTTGTAATAATTAAAATTTTACGTAATTACCATTGTTTTACATAATAACTACACTAATAATGATGACATTTGTTTTTCTTTTTAGTATTTATCTATGATAGCATGAAATAAAAAAAAACAAATTGAATGCTAATTATACTAATTGTTTCTTCAAAAATTATAATGTTCATTGACTAACACATTTTTAATGGTACTAACTGTTATATGTAATAAAGTCCTGTAAATTAACAATATCACACAAAGACCATCTATTCATTTTAAGTACCATTTCAAGAACTACTACAAATTGTATTTCGATTGAGATCTAATAACAAAACAAGATATTAAAATTAAAAAAAATACATACCTGATCTAAAATTTATTTGATGTTAGAACTTATTCTATGGCTTTTAATAAATAACAAATAATCTATTTGATTGATTATCAGTGAATAATTATCAATTATACAATTGAATTAATAAAAAGGCATTCTTCTACAATAAATAATAACTAATTATGTTTAAAGAAACATTTATAATAAAATTCAATTTCTGTGAATTTTTTACAGGCATGCTATATATTTTATATATGAAAATGAGTCGCGTTGCCACTATCATGCAGAAGCTGATGTCCAAATGTCCAAATCGAAAATTGAGATAGACATGATGCATTAGGGTCTGTCTCCATAGGGCCTGCCTGAGTCCGTCCGAGCCGGCCGAGATTTTTTATGGGCACGCCATCTCTATAATTTCGTATCCAATGGCGAGTTTCATAGTGAATGGCTGCGTTTACATAAACGAGCCCGATCGGACGCAGCCAATACGAGAAACGCATGAACACGAAATTATAGAGATGGCGTGCCCATAAAAAATCTCGGCCGGCTCGGACGGACTCAGGCAGGCCCTATGGAGACAGACCCTTAGGTCTGGGATTAAGACCGGGGACGCGAGAACTTGAACATGAGCCAGCGCCCTCACGCGAGTCTGTAAGATATATTTCAGAGACGTGAGATTACTCATTACTGAGATTCCACACATAATTCCTTACCCCTACCCTGTCCAATGTTTCAATAGAGTGTCCTATCTTGACTGTTATCTATTGTATTGCAGATTCGATAGTAAGTATTAAACGCTTCTCTGTACAGAAGTTGTATTGCTTAGGCTACGTATATTTAAAATTTTGCACTGTTTATATATTATTTTTGTATTTATTGTAAGTTTATTTTAATTAAAAATAATTACATTAAGATGTTATTTAGTAATGATTTACAAATTTTTTTTACATATTTACAAATTATAAAATCACTTACCATTTCATTTCATTCACAAATATTTTAACGAAAACGTGTTGATTAAATTCGAAGCAAAAAACTCGATATAAAAATGCTATATGTGTCAACGCTTACTATCAAATCAATCTGCAATTGAATACATAACAGTTAAAATAGGACACTCCATTGAAACATTGGACAGGTAGGGTAAGGGTAGGGGTAGGGGTAAGATATACATGTAGACTCTCCCTATAATAATAAATAAAAGAAAGTTATACCATTGGATGTATTTAGAGTGAAACCCTTTAAATATATACTGATTATTTTAAGCGCACCCTTTAAGTTATCTAATAATATTTTAAATATTCTTTCATGTAATGGTGATAAGTTTGGAAAAATTGCAAATAATAAAAAATAAATTAGGTACAAAAACTGCACTTCCATTTATTATAATAACATCCTTATTTTTTGAATCTGATTAATATTAATGGTAATAATAATAATATAATAATTTGATGTTTTTTTACAAATAACGGAAGGAAATTAAAGAAAATCGTTCCAAAAAAATTTTAAGAAAACCAGGTTGATAGTTCTAAAACTTATTAACAAATTCATGCAATTTCAATTTCATCAATAAAAAAATCTCAAAGTTGACACCTCTTAATTTGTAAGTAATTGTATCTACGTGGCGTAATAACGTTGTTTCTGTACAAAAAAAATTATTCAGTCGTTAACAAAAATACGCAGTTTTTCTACATAATTTTTGTTTGCAATCAGTAATATTATTTATTCAAAAATTATTATTCATCAACTCTTACATAGCGAATAGGCACGTTAGGGTGCATATGTATGAACGTATGCAGCGTTACCGCTCGAAAAATTGCGTCTAGGGGCCGGAAATTATTCCATCAAATTATTAACATCGATTTAGGTATATATTCCACGTTCCACTTTCATCCTTCAGTTGCGTAATAGTACATTACGATACAAGTGCGGGAAAGTAGATTTTTATCTCGTATGGCGTTTATATACCTGAGCGAAACGAGGGTGGAAAGATATACGAGACGAAAAACTCTTTCTCGAACATGTATCTTACTGTATTTTTCGATACGACGTGTAGAAAGTGAGATTTTCAACGCACGTTTTTTGCCAAAAACGCGCTTTGCACACAAAGTGTCGTCTGAAGTTCAAATTTATATCTGTGTTGTAAACTTGTATGAGACAATTCACCAAAATTTTGCATTTAATACCACGGTAATATATATATATCTTTCTCTATTGCAGATAGCTGTTTCAAAAAACTTTAGAAGATAATCACAAATATTAGTGTTTCAGAAGAAAACTTCAAGCTCCACTGAAAATATGTATACAAATTTTTTAAAGTATATGTACGAAATTTGTATAACCCTTCTACAAGTTTGGTAAAAGTTTTATACAAGTTTTGTATACCAATAATCAACTTTTTCTTAAAAGTTGTATAAATAAATTATACATGCATATTGTGGATAAAATAACGTGGCCAGCTTCCATAGACTTTCAACTAGATACGAAAAATGGAAAAATGAAAGAAAATATTGACCTAACTGAGACTTGAAGCCGAAACCTTCATGTTAGCAGACTGGTATTTTACCACTTTGCTATTGATAACTATTATAATACGTATGATTTTTTATTTTCACTTCTAGCCACTAAAAGTCTTATTAATACACGAAATTACATTATCCGAACATTTGCATATGCACGCATGTTCGGAGAATTGATTCACAATAATTTTTGGCTATGACCTTTTATAGAAAGGATAACTCTACCCAAACAGACCTCGCGGACTTGCGGGGTTTTATCCCATTTCTGCAGGGTCGGTCCTTTATCCATTCGAGCAACTTAGTGTCCTGGCTAATCTGCCAGCTCATCAAAAAAGTGGACGAAAGAACTGCCTCTGCCCTTCCTTCCTTCCAACGTTCAGCGGAATACGAAAGCTGAAAGAGAATACCACCGCTAAGGAGGAGGAAATAAGAAGGTTGAAAGAAGACGCATCCGAGCCAACCCAGAAGCAACCACCTCAATGAACCAAAACCAACCCCGGGAACAGGATGACTTTAATACGCCTGGAGACTACCGCCTAAATTAATCCATTAAGACCTAAGGCGAAATTGGAAAAGATAGCTTCAAACTAACTACGCCATTTATAGCATATCGAAAAAAAAACTTATCCGTGTTTTTTCTTTTGCCTTTTGCAATTGTTTATAAAAAGTTATTTAAAAAAATTTCCCAAGAAGCCAGTATTTTTAAAAACTAATCACGGCAATCGATTCTACGGAAAAAATTATGAAAGAAATTTATTTAACACTTTTTCATCAGACTTTAATTTGTTTAAGGAGCTACAAGAAGCTCAGGAAGTTTGGTGTATGCGCATAGAAAAGCATGAAAAATACAGAACTAAGGCAACCGAGAATTCAGTATTGCTGCTCAAAATCATCAAGACATCTACGATATTAAAAAGCACCGCGATGAGACTTACGTACAAGGTGGATGACAAACTATATAGGTTAAGAACCATATCATTTTTTTAGCTATAGCATCCAAGTTAGGCCCTAAGTACTGTGGTAGCGCGCCGTAAAGGCCTGAGTTCCTACCAGCTCCAGAATGCTTTACTATCATCCCTTTTAAAAGATTTTATTAAATCTTGCGATATTGTTCTGCTCCTGTATTCAATAGCTTCATCACTTTTAGTTTTTATACATAAATTTTTCGACTTTTTCTCTTTTAAGTTTGTATTGCTATCTTCCATCTCTTTAATTATTTCTTCAATAAGCACAAATTTTTTTATTTCTCCTTTATTGTGAATATATTGCAGCGATAATAAAATCTTACAAATCGTTTGATAGCCTAGTTGATCTTTCCTTATTTGCAAAGTCCAATGTTACATATACGTTCTGATTTAGCATTCGAGTTCGGCAAATATAGCAATAATAAAAAATTAAATAATTTAATATAGTAAAATTGTTATAATAATGACACATATTTCTAAAATACCGTATTTACCATGTATGAAACCTGTAAGTAAAATGTACTCCGTTTTTTAAAGAAAAAAAAATTAGAAAGAAAAAAAAAAGAAGAGAGAACAATGAGAAGCTAGCAATGAGAAGAGATAACTAAAGAGAGCGAAAGACTGATAGGCTAAGGAAAAGAGCATACAAAGAGGGATCCTTGTGATCAGAATAGAATCCACTGAAAAGGAGTACCGGAGAGTGCTATAAGTGGCGAGGGTAACTCAGTTTGGGAAGATTTTAGTTTGTAAGATTCTCCATACTTTTTACGGACTGCACTTTCAGAGGTAGTCAAATACAAGATTTCCCCTCATCAACATGGAATAAAAATAGATATGTATCGAGATGAAGAATTTTTTTAGTTTTATTTGTATAATATTAGTTTAGAACACTGGAGATATACAATCTTGCGAATAAGATTTGTAGACTTTAGAATTTGTTTTGTTTATAAAAACTTTTACATTGATTAAATTGTATGCTATAAGTAACTTAAAAATTAGTTTCGGTGTTGTTCTTTATAAACGACTGTAGGTATAACGATTATTGATCTGGTGATATAGTAAATAACTATATTATTAATCATTTTTCAAAGAGGTTAACATTGATATTTTTCAAAATAACAATGAAGTAAAATGTTGAAGTTTATGGTTGTAATATGAGTCGTAACATTTTGATTTGTTAACAAAAGTAATCATTAACTGGTTGAGAATCCAATGAGCTGCACGGCAAACTTCATCTCTTCATTATTGGCATTCGGAAGTGTCGTAAATTCGAAAGTGGCCCAAGTATAACCGACACCTCCGCCAACGAGGCCCACAAAATAGTCTTTGTTGATTTTTGTTTTTGCATTTTCCTCTGCTCTAAATACATATATGACCTTAGTGGCCATTTGGCGGTTTGCTTGAGTGGTAACGGCAAAGTTCCTAACGGAGTTGTTAATTGATGGAATGGTGATTATATTTTCTGCAAGCTTGTATCGGTGTTGTACTTTCGGACTGACCTCTTCTCCGAACTTCATAATCACCTCCCAATCTGCATGTGCGTAACTCACATTGACAACTATCACAATCAGAATAACCGGTGCTATAGAGCATTTGTTCAATAGCATTTGTTTCGCCAACATTTTGATTTCTAATTGAATAGTAGTCGTTCTCACAACTAAGAAGAAATCACACTTTATTAGTTCTGGCGTATGCAATGAAACTTCTGGATAAGGCAGGACCAAAGAACGGTTGACAAAGTATGATATGGCTGAGTCGAGTTTGAGTGTTTTGAAGACTGTAGACTCTACAAAGGTCAGGGAACAAATTAATTTATATTTTTACCAATTCAAATTATTAATAAAGATAATGCATAAGGAATCGGGCCTTCAAGGTATTTCATTTCTTAATAACAGTTTTCATGTTAGTAATGAGATACTTATATTAACATATGCCTATACGGTAATTTTGATAATTTATATATATCACTTACAAATATGAATTATATGATCTCTGGTTATTATTTGCAATAAAATTTTAATTGTGAATTTTTTAATTATTATAAATTAAATTCATATAACGAAAGTGGATTCAACAAAACTGACAGAGTAATTAATTATTTATTTATATCAAAGATTCGGTGAGTGAGAACAATGAAATTCAGAAATATGCTATTTTCATTTGAAATTTTCAGTTGAAAATTCTACTTTTCAAAAACATCAAAGACGAATTATATGTTGAAATTCGTACTTTATAAAGACGCCAAGCTATAAAAATGTCAGAGCTAATTTCTAATTTGAAAAATAAAAATAAAGTGCTCTCTCCAAATTAGTAACATTCTATCTACACAACTCATTTCTTGCTGTGGAACATAGAAACGGTAAGCTCGTAATGCGTGCTAACTATTACTTGAAAGTCCGACTTTATTTATAAATTTATGTAAGTGGTTGCATGCCAACAACGTAATATTGAAAATATATTAAAATTGAGAGAAAAAATATACTTTCATTCCAAATGTGATATTGCAAGTTGCTAAGTAACAAAAAAACAAAGTATGCTCTTAGAGACTTTGACCGCTGCAAATATTTCCAAATTTGTTATCATCAACCTATTGCATACGACTAATACTTCAACGAAAGAAAATTATCTCACGTTGATTTTGACTTGATCAGAAACAAACAGAAAGTAATCAAGACATATCATAATTATGATCAGGCATATTGCTACTGATTATATTTGCAGCATAAAATTATAAATGTAGTCGGACTCCTAAATAGTTGTTACTCATATAAATGTTATTAACTTACCGTTTTCATATTCCGCGGTAAGCAGAGAGTATTGCCGATGAAACGTTATGAATTTAGCGGCCGATATGGCGTTTTATTGAACTAATCGCTGATATAGCACCTTTTCACATAGATCGCCAAAATAGCACCTTCTGAATTGTCCGCGAAATAGCTCTTTTTCGAATTAAATACTAAGATCTTTTTTACTCACCAACGATATAGACCCCCTTCTCGAATAGCTCGCCGAGATAGGTCTTTCTTAGTAGAAGGCGTCGCTATGCTAATTTGTTATGGAAAGTGAAAAAAACTTAGTGTGAAATATGATTAAACGTAATAAATGATACGAAAATCCTATCTTGCCATTCTTGTTCCAGACTTCCGTTGAAAAAAATGAATAAAAAACTAATTACAAATCAATGTTTAGGCGTAAAGAATTTGAAATGCAGTATATGAAATGTAGTAGCCTGTTTGAAAATAGTGTTATGGGATTTGATGTGTAAATTAGTTGTATATATAAGTTCAAAATGCAGTGAACGAAGGAATGTACATATCTATCTGCATTTAAAGTGAATTATTCAAAAGTTGCAATTTAATTGATACTAATTGTGAACAAACAGAAGCATTTCAAATTATGTTATCGTCAAATTGCTTATTGGTACTTAGGTCTTTAAATAATGTAAAGTCATAAAACAACTTCAGTTTTTAATTATATTATTTCAAAGTAAAATATTATAATTTTCGAATGAAGACTATATGATGATGTTAACTTGATATCTGTTCTAATAGAATATCAATGTGTCAACTATTTCAATGTATACCCTCTATGTATGAGTATATTTGCATTTTTGTGCTATATAATCATCTTGTCAGTTTAAACACAATAAATAATTAGTATGTAAACTTGAGTCGTTGAAAATTAAGTATCATTCTGTTGGAATTAAACTTGATTATTTCTAATTCGACTGAGGAAAATAATAATCGTATTTCAACCTAAGTAGCAATGAAATCGCTTGATATTTAACTTATTTACATACCAGCGACGATAAGCAATAATTGCAATAATTATTCAGAACGATTATTTTTTCATTGTGTTCTAATCTGGTTTTCCTTCATTTACTCGAATAGTGTAACAATTAAACACGACGTACTTTATATAATTTATACTTATTCCCTTCCCTGTTTTGCTTTTCATGAATCTATGTTTACATATACATTTTATGAATATGCAATCGAATATTCAAGATAGTCGAATATTCAACTGTTTCTTGCGTTTACTTGGCATGGTGTTTTCAAATTTAGAATTACCGAAACATTAAGGTATCAAGTCAATCCATACACGGTGTCACAAGGCTATTCAAAAAATAAAAGGGACTGTACTAATATCATGTGACGTCAAAGTATGAGAACAAAAAAGCAGCCAAATTATTTAAACAAATTATCAAAACTTTATAATTTCAAAAAACATAACATAATAATATATTCTACTAGATACATTTAATTTGATGCTGGATTTAACTTCGATAATAATGCACTATCAATATTACATCTTCTGTTGTACGATATATTTTATTGGTTTCTTCGTCCTTTGTTTTTTTAAATTTATATTGTATTTTTTAATGAATTCTTACCTTCTCATCGTCGTGCGAAGGTATTGATATATATATATATATATATATATATATATATATATATATATATATGAGAAGAAATATTGTCCTGATCGTTCTGACTTCTACAGTCATCTATTGAAAATTGTGAATTGATTATTTATGAGTCCTTTTTATACATTAATTGAAATAATATATACAGGGTGTCCCATTTTAACTTGCCCAGTAGGATATCTCAAAACTTGGCAAGGTAATCGAAAAATGTTTCAAACGAAATTTGTATGGTTTGGAGGGGGTCAACTTATGATAACCACCAACTTGACCTTGAACTTGAGTTTCAAGGTTATTTGAAGGTCAACTTTGTTTTTTTTAATGGAAATCCCTATTTTTTATCCCTGATTCGAATAGAGCTGGAAATTTTACGTTCAAATCATGTAATATGTGTAGGGTCCAAATGACTCCCACCCCACCCCCAAAGTCATTTCAAGGTCAATTTTACTTTTTAAATGGGACCCCTCATTTTTCGTTGCAGGTTTGAATTCATGACTTTGGGGATGGGGTGGGGGGGTCATTCGGACCCCATAAATATCCCATCATCTGAACGTACAATTTCACGTAGAATTCAAACCTGCGACGAAAAATGAGGGGTCCCATTTAAAAAGTAAGATTGACCTCGAAATGACTTTGGGGTGGGGTGGGGGTCATTTGGACCCCACATATATTACATGATTTGAACGTAAAATTTCCCGCTCTATCTTAATCCGGGATAAAAAATAGGGGTTTCCATTTAAAAAAACAAAATTGACCTTCAAATAACCTTGAAACTAAAGTTCAAGGTTAAGTTGAAGGTTATTATAAGTTGACCTCCTCCAAACCATACAAATTTCGTTTGAAACATTTTTCGATTACCTTGCCAAGTTTTGAGATATCTTACTGGGCAAGTTCAAATGGGACACCTTGTATACATTCTTTTCTAATCTACCACTTCTAATTTTTTTGATCCTTATTTTAAATGCATACTTTTATAATAATTCAAATAATTATTCCATTTATATTGGTATAAAGTGATATTGGTATATACTAATAAAGTAATTTACTGTCATGAATGTATTCATTTGATATTCTTTAAACCTAAAATTGATTCACTATAATTAAATAATTTGATCCGAGATTAAAGAAATGAATTAAAATATAAAATTATTAAAAATAAATTCATATAAATTATTTTATATTAAAAAGAAATTGATAGTAAGTTCTTACATAAGTTGATACGTAAGAACTTACCATTGATAGTAATTGTAAAACAATCGATAGTAAGATTTTAAGTAAATTTTACGTAAGCTCTTACGTAAGAACTTGTGTAAAAACTTATCATCAATGGCTAATTCTTACCCGCAAGTACTTACGTAAGAACTTATGCGATATCTTACGTTAGTTCTTATGCAAGTTCTTAGGGTAAGTTCTTCCAAAAGAACTTACTCTCATTTTTTCACGAGGGCGCTTCTCGCTAACTATAGATGTCTTGTGCAGTGTTGTCACATGACGCCGCGCTTCAAAGATCTTTTCAAGATCTTTCTTGTTAATTGAGATTGAATGTATATTCCGATCTGCTCGCTATAGCAAAGTGTACATCTGTCTGTCGATGTGCTTGCTAGTTGAGTTGATGGGGTGGCTTCTGTTCCCTATCAACAATGTTCTAACAATGTTACATATTTTCAAATTTTTAGTCTCTTAGCCTATTCCGTGATAATAGAGGAACTCTACATCTCTTTCTATTACTTTCGCAATATCGTCTTGTTTTGGCGCTTATTGTTCTGGTGGTATTACTATATTCTACTTATTTTATTCAAATCACATTCATAATAAAGGGAGTACAATTAAGCGCGAATATAGCGTGTTTACAATATATTTTTCCTTCTCTATGCAATCTAACAGATCTGCGCATACAAGGAAAACATGTGGCATTTATGACGTAAGCACTTGAGCAGGTCAAAGATTATCATGATAGTTTACTTTCCGGCTACAACCCTTTTTGACCGTTGACTGGAAAGTCGTAAATAACGGCTTATGCGGTTGTATGACCTTCGTAGCGTGTCCCATAACAACGCAGCTTACGTTAAAACAAAATGTGTCGAATATGTGCTGATCTGGTAGATCGTAGTCGCGATGGTGACTATATTTCTTATTTTCCACAACGCATATTCATTTCCAGTCGACCACGACATTGAGACAAGATTGTGTAAAGATCCAGTCAATTCAGATAGGATCGTATACTAAAGATGCATCCATTTAATTATGAATCAATTATACGATATATCCACCATTATTATTCATACACAACAATAATCGCTGGCAAAAGTTATACTACACGTTTCTTATAAGGAAACTACCCCAAGTATATCTCATCAATTTTCTTCATTTTTTGATATGTTGTAGTACATCAAGAAATATTGGACCAATGTCTTTTCTATTGTGCTAATTTAGCGATTTATATCTAATATGAGATTGCTGTTAAATTACGAAGGAGATCAGTCCTTGTGTCTTGGAAATATTAAACGTATGAGCCCCTGTAGTAGAGAACTATGAAATCGAAAAAAAGTCCACTATGAAGTCGAAAAATCATACACGAGAGAAAGATCTTTTAATTTTTAAAGACACTGCTTTTATTATCGACAGTAAACATTCTCATAATTTTCTGGTATGTAACTTCTCAGTTTATTGAAGTTGTAAAAATTTCTACCACGCGACGGCTATTTCATTGTTACCTTTTCCATTGCAATCACGAACTTAAACAGTACCAGACCAGGGATTCATACTATGTTTGTCCTGTCTGTGCAACGATAAGTAGCCAGTTATGAGTGAAACTACTTGGCTACTTAGGTATGAAATAATAAATAACCCTTGCTATAATGATGTAAAAAATGACGTATCACAGCATGCTTGCTCATCTGTAGAATGTTCTGCTTATTCTGAATTCGGAATAAACAGAAAAATTAAAAAAGATTGTAATAATTTTGGATAGATTAGAAGCGCAGATAAAAAGCGAACGACTACACGATAATACGAGATACTAATACGAGATAAACATTCTTAGAGATATCATTGATGAAAGTCTAAATTGAGAAACATTCACAAAATATTGTTTTTAATTTTATGCCTGATCATTTACAAACACATATCTTGCAATTTATGTAAAACAATCATTTTTCATACATTAACAGTTGGAGTAATGACAGTTTTCATCTTCTTGAACTTTTGTGCGCCCTTCTCAAGAGTACTGATGTTCTATTTGAATGAAAAATATCAGTCAAAATATTATAAAAATGCTACTTATTGTTAAAGTAGTACATATTTAAAGTAGTACATCTATACCTTATGAAAACAAAATCGTACATAATCTTGAGCCATGTGTTTGTGCTCCTTTCCGTAGAACATTTCAAGTGGCCATCCAAGTACACCGACATTCTCAATCATCCAAATGATGAAGTCCATGGCAGTGCGAAGTTTAGGTACTCTCTGTCGCAACGATGACCAATTACCTATCATACAAAATCCAGCGTTGGGAATAACAGGATCCAAACCCGCCTCGGTAAGCATTTTCACCATCATATCTCGTTCTTCTTTGACCGACTGTGAATGACTCGCGAAGAACATAGGATTACGTTGTTCTTCCTCGAAAGCGTAGGCTACAGCATACTGTTGAGAATATTATCACATGGATATCATGGTTCTATTATAACAAAACTGATTATTAAAGTACCTGTGAATGCGAAGGCGCGCACGCAACATTCGGTAAATGTGCGACTTTTAAATGGTTGAGGAGGTTTGGATGACCGTAAGCCCAACCGACTCTGAAGCCAGACACGCTGAAACTTTTACTTGCACTGCCGATTGTGATGGTTCGTTCGAACATTCCTGGCAGTGATGCTATAGGCGATAAATGGGTCAGATAATATTTTTGACTAAAGTGAATTTTTCACTCGAATTGTTTCATGTGTATACCCATTCTAATATGTGGCTTAAAAGTCATCCATTCGTGGGCTTCGTCGCTTATAACTATAGTGTCATACTTTTTGGCCAAGTTACCAATGAATTCCAATTCCTCTCGTTGGTATACTTTTCCGAGAGGATTTAACGGATTGTTTAGCATAATCCCTTTGGTATTTTTATTGAACAAACTTTCCAGTTGTTCCTTATCGATTAACCAGTCGTCTCCACTAATCGTTCCATTAGTTTTGACCTAGTTTGAATAAATTATTCAAAATTACGCTTATTGTGTCATTTTTTTTCTAAAAGAATAACAATGAATTGGTTGAATACATCCGATTACTCGTTCAAGTGAAACTTAAATAATTTCTTATACACAATCGGCAAATAAAAATGACAATAGTACTCTGCGATATATCTACCAATTTTAAAGGTGACAGTCTGGGTACACCCCAAGCCATTTTGATGTCTGGTATATATTTAATGTAAGTCGGCTCGATGACAATCCACTCGTCTCCAGGCATTGTATGTCCGAGAACGGCTACTCGAAGAGCTTCGGTAGCGCCCACTGTTATCAAAACGTTGTCTTCGCCATTTAACTCCTGACCGATTAGAGGTGAAAAGGTTTTAGCAATTGCTGTCCGCAATCTTGGTGATCCCTGACGAAAAAAAATGGTTCAATTATTTTACCTACTTGTGAAAGCACACGTACAGTGCAATGATAGATGTAGCGAGATGTAATGTGAAGTTGATAAGTATGAAGATTTAAAACAAACTCACGGACGGTTCGGTGTATTGATTTGCGAATGGATCAGACGAGGCGGTCGCGTTTATTAAAGCATCTATGACGTGCCGTGGAGCTATACCGTCAAACAAATCTTTGCCAAAGTCAGCAAGATCGTTAACGTCTGAGTAAGGATCCAACCATTCTCTGAAATTAACAAAAGTTATTTAATGAACACAATCAGTTATTAATGGCAGAAATACTTACTCAGCCGTGTCATTCAAGCCTATAAGATTTGTTGGAAAGTCAAATTTGGAACGACTCTTAATGACTGCTGCATCAGATATGACCAAACAGCATGCAATCTGAAAACATTTTTCTATATATGCATGTAGCAAGACAAAAAATTCGCTTCTCTGATTTTTCCATAAAAAAGTACGATAACGCTTTAAAAAGTACACGGTTAGATCATTTAACGTAGTATAATTGCATTAATTTAATTTCAATGCATTTCGGATTATACTGATCATTTAAAGTGTATATAAATAGACACCTTAACAATTTTTACTTTGAATCTCTGTTTTGAGTTTATGATACAAACTAAATAGTTTTTATACGAACAAAGAAAGTTGTGATGTGCCTCGAAATCATTGTTACTGGCGTATGAAATGACATAAACTCTTCCGTTTTCCTCGTATGCGTAGAATTCCAAAGTTTGCTTATATACTTTTCATAACTATCCAATTAGTATATGTCAGAATCTAGATGGCTGTAGCCACTGCAAATAAATAGGATCCAATTTGCACAAATTAATCAAATTTCTTTTTCTAATAATATTTTGCTTAAAGAGGGATTTATTGGTCTAATTAGCTATTAGGCAAAATTTTATCAACAATCAATGAAAGACTCAAAGAAAATTGGAAACGTATAAATCGGAATTTTGAAGTAAGAGAAATCTAAGATCAGTGTTTCACGCAAATCGGCAGCAATAACTATTAATAACTATTTTTCGACCTCATAGTAAATTTGTTATTAATCAAAAACTTTCGAAATTATAAAAATTGAAAAACTGCAACTTATGAGAAGTTGGTTAAATAAATGGCGTCGTTATAACATAATGAATTTTTTACGATTATGGTATTAAGATGATAATTTATTTTCATTATTATTGAAAAATCATATGTAGGAAGATAATTATACTACTTGACTTTTTGATAATAAAATAATTTTAATAAATAATTGTTACAACGACATTTTAATTATGAAACGCACATCTTTTATTATCTTGTAACATTTCGTGCGTCAAACACTATTTTTTTTACTTTATTTTCTAATAAAGATGTGTAATCACATGAATATTCGTATATCCATATACCTTACGTACAATTTTTTCAAAAATAAATTTTTTTTATAAAATAAATTTGAAGTCTACTCACATAGTTTTAAAAATACATTTAGAAAAACTATCACATATAACTAAATCTGATCAACATTTAAAAAAGAGTTATGGTACAATATAACATATTATAAATCAATTAACTTCTTACGTATGTTTTTATATAAGACCGTATTCACGAGACAATGTCTTTTGATAAAATATTTTATAGAAATATTTAAGAATTAAAAAATTATTATTGTAAAAAATCGTTTCATCGATTTATTACAACAATTATTTTCTAATTTAAGTAACCTATTTGATCACTCGATCCCATGTTATTATAAGGCTGAAAATACAATTTCACATTTTTATTTTTATATTTCTTTCATTACAATATTTATAAAAAACTTATTTTTATCGATACGAATAATGACATCGTACATATATTATTATTTTTTTATGAGATTAGCTTAAATTTTATTAAATTTCGATGATACTTTATTCAACTTTACTCAATTATATATAGGTAAATATTTGACCACACTTATCCTAAATTTGCGAATCAAAATAATAACTAAGTTGGACATAGATATATAGGACAACTTTTACCAAACTTTATCGAATGTAAATTTGGCAAAGGTTTGGAAAAAGTAAAAAATTTTTCATGTTTACGGATAATTATATATTTACGCATGTAATGTCAGTTTGAATCATTTATTCGATAATACTCATTCATAATTGTTGTTTTGCTTCATTAAATAAATTTTTGGAACTCTGATATTTTTGCTAAAATATATTGTCGTTCTAAATAAAATGTCTATAAAAAAAAATTTATAAAAATTCCTACGTATTTAAATTTGACATAGACTTGTATTCGCCAATCTAGTCATTAAAATGAATATTATCAATAATATTATGAATATCTTATTTTCGAATAATGCAATGTGAAAAATTAAATTCATTCCGTTAAAAACGAAATAGTCTATAGCGTATTCGTATTTGAATTTTTACTTTGCATGTAATTGTTGGAGAACGAAGATGTGCTTACCAATGGAACACCGCGTGATAAACTGTGAAAATCGTCCAAAATCGTACGTATTATTTCTTATTCGATTCTGATAAGCGAGACAGCTATTTACATTTTAGTATTCGCCATAAACGACTTGAAAATAACTGTTCGTTTTTTAAGCACATTTGAAATATTGAATTAAAAAATCACTTTCAAAACAGTAATTGCTTAGGCACGTACAACATTAAAATAACTTTTTCACTAAATTGAAGTAGCTATTTTTATTTGATCACGATTGTTCCATTACTGTGTTATTTTCGTGTACGTAATAAAGAAAGCCAACTTATGATTCAATTTTTAGAATCATTACTCATAAAATTATGTTTTAATCAAATCAATAACGAAGTAGAATGATTTCGGAAACATACCCTCTCAAATGAGCTTTCCCAAAGAAATCTATCAATTCGATCCGGAGTTATTTTTGGATTTATGCAAAAAACTCAGATAGAATATACAACCTTTTGTTAGAAGATGAGAAAAATACGCAAATGGTATAAACAACTAAATGCTAATATCGATTCTCGTGCCATATATATTACTATACAAATATACGTCTAAGCGTTCATGATAAATGAAGTCCTACTTGTAAATTTAACGTTCTTAAAGATACCTTGGAAGTAATATTTTATTTCATGCGTTATTTTTATTTGTCATATCTAAACAAAACTAAATAAACCATTACTTTAGCTTATTAACATTCCATACAGCTCAATTTAAATACTTCATATGGCATCTTATTGACTCCAAACAAATTTTTTGAAAAAAACACGGATTAAATAATATGAATGTAGATCTAATATAAAACTCGAAATATAAAATCAAGAACACATTTTAGAGTCTTTTCTGTATAATTTTGTAATATTTTGTCCATTTTGTACGGTTTTGCTTTATTCATGGATAATCATTTTCTACCTATTACAAATAATAATTCTTCCAGTTATTATGCTACATTTGTCTAACATTAAGCAAGTCAGAATTTGATAACTATAATAGTTTAATATATAATAATTTATAATAAATTAATAATTTATAACAATTTATAAAAATTTATAAACTATTAATCGTTTCAAACTTAGAAACATTCTATAATAAATATTAAAAAAATAGTAATTGTTGAGAATAAGTATCCAGTTTGCTGAATATATTTTTATTACCAAGAAATCTCAATACAGTAATATTATTTTATACGAATATAAAATTATAACAAAATATAGTTACACGACTACTTTATTAAGTCTTTTAACGATGAAAAAAATTCCGAAATTTCCTAAATAAAATAGTTATATTATTTATTCGATTACTTCTTGCTACTACTTTTAAATGACTTTATTAGTATTAATCCGATTTAAATATATTGTGAAAATTGTTTCTAAACTTTTGAAATTAATGAAATATATCGAAAAATAACATGGATGTTATACATTACATCCACATGTTTTTTATAAATTATCAAAGGCCATAGCCAGGTTTCTATGCTGATCTAGGCCCCAAGCCATTTTTGAAAACTAACTATAGGATCTTGTTTGAAATGGTTTGAGAAAACTTCACGCCAATTTTCAGCTCTTAAAATACATTAGAACCGGGGTAAATTAAAAAAAATCGATTTTCAGCACTTTCTTTACGTTTTGACCTCTAGCTCAACCGCAAACAGTGTGCTTAAAGGCTGCAAAAGTTTGACTAAAATGCATCTAAAATCTGCTAAAGCAGGAAGTTTCTATGTTGTTTGGACAACAAAAATCAGTTTTATTTAAAATTCTAGCTGCTCCCTTTCGCAAGTTACGAACATTCATAGATTTTTACCAATCAACTGTACTACGTGTGTCGACAAGTTTTTTATATAAAATGTTTTTTCAAATTTATCGCTTTTCCCATGTATAATCACAATATTTTTGAAAATCAGCTCGCAAATCTCCATAAGTTTTTAATCGCCTACAATTTTCTATTTCTGAAGTGTCCATTGCGCTCGCCGATTAAGTAGAATTAATACAATTTTCTGGAATGGAATTACCTCTCAAAGTATTCAACAAAATAAAACAATATGGGAAGGGATATGTGGAGATAGCAGTCTGTTGTCCATTAATTATTAACAAGAGTTTAAAATCTGCTACAAATTTAAATGAAATATTATTCAGTTTTGTTACATCAACTAAAAGTTTAAAATTATCATAAGATTCTTTGATTTGAGAAACAATACATAATATCAATTTATCAACACTACTTAGCTTATCTTTTTTACCAATACTTGCTTCTTTAGAGTATAGCGATCTATTTTCATATTTATCTAAATCATTTAAGTTGAACTTATTGTTTGCGATATCTTCGAGATTTGACTTTGGAGAGTAATTTTTAGGAAGAATTGTTAAGCTATTCTTAAAAAACCCCTGACCTCCGTCTGCCATAACTTTGATAGTACAATTCCCTTCTATATTTCTTTTTTCTATAATTGAATCAAGTAACTCTTCAGCATCAGCATAGATAAGAGGTCGTTATTGTTATTGTGATGTATTTTCGCAGTCAAATTCATACGTACCTACTCTAATATCTTTGAATGCTTTCGATTTCTGCGACATATGCTGATTATAATTTATAGGAACTGATTTTCTACCTACATTACACCTTAAAAAATTTGCAATTTTTCTCATTTGATTATATGGTGCTCCTAATTTAACTCGAAAAATATCCAAATTTTCTTCACTACTAAAGGATAATGGTTTTCTAATACTATCATGAACAATCAATTTTCTTTTACGACCACCCGTCGCTAAAGTTAGAGTTTGACTCTTTTCATTCATTTCAGTAGCGGAATCCCATTTACTTTTTATAATGGAACTGACTACTTGTTCTTTATTTTTATCAGGAAGCTGTTCAACTAGTTTTAATAAATTTTCTTTAGCGCTCTTACAGTCATGACATACCTTTCCCTATTTGTTGAAAACAGTTACTACAAAGCTTACTAACATCTGAATTCCTTTTATTGTTTTATAATCGGTTTGCAACTTCTTTTTTTTTCCATAACTTTTTTTATATTAACCTGAAACATCTATGTTAGTTCGCAACTCTCTGAAATTTCCTTGACCTTTTTCTTACATTTACGTGCCCAGAAGAAGTAACAGTAGAACATATAAAAAATTGCATGTGTCTCCTGTAGAACGTGTCTTTTTTGGTAATAGTATATTGTTATAATCAGGCATAATTTGTATTTGCCTGTTGTAAATTTCTTTTTCAAAATCAAGAAGTGTTAGATAGCATGACCTGCAGATACTTAGAGGATATTTTTCATTATTGAAATCAAAATCTTTTGATACATACTTTTTTATGAAATTTGCCATTTTATCATTTATCAGAAACTTTTCTGGCTTAACTTTACCAAAAACAATTTTTCTACCACAAGGACTGCATATCTTCTTTCTGTTTCCATTATGAAAACATTTACCATCGTGACTCATACTAAAAATAAAATATTTGTAATAATAATGATTATAAAATTAGAAAGAATTTGTTGAATTATAAATCCCCGCTCAGTCATGAGTTTTTTAATTTTCAAAGTACGGTTATATTTAATCTTTGCATTTATGTATATCTTAAGGTCTTCTATTCTTAATACAAGTTGAGTTTTTTACATACGCCACCTAGCGTCAGTAAAACTTATTAAGTTATCTAAACCTATATGTAACAAGTACTCAAATTTTTTATCACCATTAATTTAATTTTTTTATTTAAGCATTTATTCAATTTGAGAAAATGGTGAATTTGAGATAGTGGTATCATTCGGAGAACGTTAATTTGGTTTTTTTATTTGAAACTGTTTTTTCGTATCAAATATTACAGCTAAATACATAAATATTGCAGCTTTACACTCAAACTCAGATTAAATATCCGACATGAATTATAATAATATGCGACTATAAAAGCCTCTTAGTACAGGTTGTTATGTAAAAATCTAAGAATGCTCGTAATTGGCAAAAGGGAGCAGCTAGGATTTTAAATTAAGCTGATTTTTTATGTCTAAACAACATAGGAACTTTCTGCTTTAACAGATTTTGGATCCATTTTAGTCAAACTTTTGCAGTCTTCAAGCATACCTTGCGCAAAGCAACATTTTTCGACGTACTTGGTCTAGTTTTACTTGTAAGGACATTTTTCTAACTAATAAATATATGTGCAAATTTTTTTCGATACTACGGAGCTTTGAAAAACGGTTTATTTATCGAAAAAAGTGATTCTTTTCGATTTTTTTAAATTTTCCTTCATTTTTCGGCAAGAAGACGATCCGACGATGTCTGGAGACCTATCCTAATTGATTTCTTCGAAAAAAAATACAAAAGAAGTTGTATTAAAAAGTTGCAAAATTTAGTCGCGCTCCGAACAGTAATCAGCAATGTAATGGAAAATCACAAATGTGTTATCAGTTGTTACGCTAAAATATTACTCAAAAAGTTCACAAAATTTTAATAAAAATATACTGCTTTCATTAACTCTAATGTTATTTTGTATGATATGCATGACTTAAATCATTCTTTATCTGAAATTTCTCGAATGAACTTTCGTAAAAAAAATTTTTACCCTCTACTTTTAAAGTTGCATGAAAATTATAATTTTAATAAGATTTAATAACAAAGTCAGCGACTTCGAGTTTTCCAAATAGTTATATAGTAAAAATCTCATTTTTTGAAGTTTGCTTGGTGAATTTATGCATATTTATGAATAATATAAAATAAAAATTTTTAAAAATTGTTGAAATTGAAATTACTATTGATTAAAACCGAAAAATAAAAAAAAAATTACGTCTTACCATGCGTATCTAACTTTGTCATTTGAGTACTGGAAGCTGTGGATATATATCGCGTATCCGTAGGGTCCGGAATCGAGTTTCATAGAACATACTATCATTTAATTTTTGATGGATAATTGAGTGAGAGTGTCTAAAATTGTGGCCGTACTACGGTTGAGGCGATGACCAGTAATATTATATAGAAAAACATCGATAATGGTGATTTTCCATTGTATTGCTGATTACTACTCGGAGCGCGGCTAGATTTTTCAACTTTTTAATACAATTTGTTTTGTTTTTTTTTCGAAGAAATCGATTGGGATAGGTCTC